CGTGAATTCGCAATTACAGTACTCGCGCTTTGGTAAAATCCCGTACCGAGTCGGACCGATTCGGGAAGCTAGGCTTCCTAGACAATCGAAGCTGCGAGGATTCGACGACAATAAATTGGCGAACACGATGGGATGTTGACTACGGAACAACTCGTTGAATCCATCCGGCAGATGCGATTTTTCGGAAAAACCGTTCGCACCTCGTCCGAGGGATCGTCACCCTCACGGTCTGGGTGATCAGCTGCAGACGGTCACCATAGACATCGTCAGAACATCATCGGCGAGCAGCGGCTAAATTGCTAGTTTCCTCTGGTGAACAAGTTTCAGAATGATTCGTAGCCTTGTCCCGTAAGATTGGCGACCCACCCACAACAGATGACGCCGAACCCAAAGAACAAAATCGTCGATCGTGGGGCTCTGTCGCCGCCGCTCCAATGACGTGAATGACAAAATTGGACTCGGTTGTTCGGAGAAGGCTCCTTGCGGTCGACTTTGAATTGGCTCAGCGGTTCTTTAAGCTTATCCCTGTATACTAAACGGATTCGCTCAAGAGCTGCTCGAATCGAAACCGAACATTCGGGGAAAATCAATCAGTCGCAATGCATTCTACGATTCTGACGTCCGGAAGAGAATCTAGACGCTAGCTACTTAATCCGCTATGCGCTTCGTGACTCTCGAATTACGTTTCCCGAAAGAAACAAATGGACCGATTATGCGCGAACTCATCGAATCGTTTACCTCCTCGTCGACACCGCATCGATCACATACGAATCCTTCCGGAATCAATACTCGAGGGAATGCGTCGTGATTGGCGGGGCATACGGTCGGGTCACGTCCTTGCCGTATCGAGAACACATTCTACGGATCGCCTTTTCGCTCCGCCGATTAGAGATCGTCCGGATTCACGACGAGGATCGGCTCTTGGTCCTCGGGAAGCCTTACTATAGGGTTTCCATCGATCTCGTGATTGAACCGTAAACAGAATCAGAAATCTCTGTGGCGTTATCCGATTTCCTCAAATTGATATTCATCGAAAATTCCATGTGGATGGAAGACCACCCCGAATCGAAACATTCATTACTTGATCAATCGGTGTATACATTCGCATCATCCCCTTCAGAACCCTGGAAATTCCATGTATTCAGCTCTCGAGCCACTGCAATCAATTTCATGCGACGTTGTCATCTCAGATGATGATACGCCTGCGCCGTTTTCGTGGGAAGAAGCTTGGACCGAGAGCCAGAGACGAGTCCAGTCTGAAGACGTGGGAGAAGAGACTAAAGTGCCGCTCGGCAACGAAAGTTCTTCGTCAGGCTCCAGTGCAAAGACCGTTACGAAGCTCTAGACGGTGGAGACCCTTGCCCCCGCTTTGGCCCCTTCGCTACGCTACTGCATGACGATCTTCTGCCCTCAACGGCTGACCGTTCCCATAACTTCTTCGCGCACAGCGACTTCTGGACTGGCTGGATATCCTTCGTGGCACGTTGTTTGTTATTGCCGCTAGAGTCGCCGTTCTCGACGTCGACGAAAACTCCGTCTTCGTTTTGTCTGGCAGATCAAGCAGCCCGGTCGTCCCTCGGTCCGTCTGTCCAACAAACAGGCGGGCAGGCAGACAGGCCGACCGACCGACGATGGTGGGGGCAGATGCGGACTTCACCTGGCGGCTGTCGGACAGGAAGAAGACACAGAAAGGATGAGCCAATTAATAGTACAATATCCCGAACGGGAGAAAGTGGTTGTCGAAGTCTTCTCCGACGAGGTTTTCATTGTACACGTAGTTGCCATTTGACGACTCGTAGATCCGGTACGGCGGAGCTGTTTTCTCCGGAGACATCGTAAATCTTCCGGAGCTAAACAAACCCATCGAGGGAAATATGCTATTTGCTAGGCAAATATCAGGCACCCAGAACGTGCGATTGATTCGGCAGTTTCCGTCCCACATTCTGTCGCCGCGCTCATGATCTATCACAATCGAGATCTCTATTTGCGTGACGTCGAATTCGGATCGAGAATACGCGAGCGGAGCATACGACCGAAGAGTACAGCTCATCGGAGACGTTCCAGCTCCGAGCTACGAGAGCGACGGGGATTGCGTGCTGCGAACGGATGGTTCGAATTGAATCGCAGCTGTATTCTCGTCTTAGCTTCCCCCAACGTCAAGTACGTACTTCCACCACGGCCGCGAGTACTGCTGTCGGTGCTACCTTCTCTACTGTAACCAGTATCACCATCATCATCATCATTGCTTGGAGGAGGGACGAACGCGCCAATCACCTTCCGCGTTTCGTCGCTGTGCGGCGGGGGCGACTTCCGAGCCGGCTGTTTGCGTCCAGCTGTCTGAGGAAGCTTCAGGTTGAACCGCTTGAATCTCGCAGCTTGACTGAAACCAGGCCGAGCGCGTGTCGCGGAATCATGCTAAGTGCGCCTCAGAGCGTACGCTCACCGTGCCTAACCGCGGTTCGGGGATGAATGAGGCTCCGAACCTGTACACGTTGACCCACAACGGCTGCAGCCGAGCTAATCGTTCCACGCGACGGATAGAAACTTCGATCGCGCGCCTCAAAACCTGTAGCTCAAGTGGAGTCGATTGATTGGACTTGAACACCGCTGTATGTCGTTTGGTGGCAGTTGCAGTCTCGCGACGGACGCGTCTCCAATTACTCCGAAGGTGAATTCGGTGGTGGCTTGCGCGACGTATCCAAAAACCATCTGCTCGTACTTCTCACATCCATGTAGAACAGAATCGTTGGGTGCTAAATGCTTTCGATTCGGACGCTTCGGATGAATTTATGCAAACACGAGTTTCGATCCTTCGCTCGTTTCGCCTCGCACCACTCAGCGTTTCGCAATCCATGATACCCTCGTTCCGTGCCGAGGAGCTTTTGAAACACCGAATGCTTGAGCACGAATTTATGCGCTTTGCATGCAACGGGATAGGTCTGCACGCAAGAGAATGTCCAGAAGAAGAGCTCGGACGATACGAGTCGATCGCTGAGACGAACGAGCGATCAGAGCTGACTTGACCGCACGGGGCAAATGAATTTCTCGGAATTCCACCTAATAATCTAGAGTCCAGGCCTCGTTGAAGAATCCCGACATTTTCGAGAGGTTCTCTGTGTGCATCAATGCTACCTAATCGATGATACATGATGAATCATCATTTTTCATCAGGGGACGTATTCTCATACGGACGGCGAACTCCAAAAGACGCTCACTCTGCGGGAGAACGGGAAAATTCACGCTAGCTCTGATTGAGGGGCATGCTCGAATCGCCGGGCATTCCGCTATTCGGGAAGGAAATCTTCGGGAAAGGGGAGGGGGGGGAATGCTAATAAAAAGAGGAGAGTCGACAGTGCCCCTTCCGACTTCCAGCTGAGCACCAGCTTCTCTCATTGAGGAGTGGAGCTCAAGATAATGAGGGAGAAAGCGCCCTCTGAGATTATCGGCGGAAGTCCTTTTTGTATTCGAATCAGAACCTGATCGCGAGAGTCAGATTAGGTGGCAAAAGCGTCTACTGCGCTGGAGTCGCCTTCAGAAACGTGGATAATAATCAATTCCAATCTCGTTGGAGAAACTGCGAGAAACAAATGGACCGATTATGCGCGAACTCATCGAATCACGACGGTCATGCTCCGAACGGAGGATTTCCTTTGAGGCAGTGTGATATTTAAGGGCATGTCATTCGTTCAAAGGAAGCAAGCTTCATACAGATGCTTACGAGCTCCCCCACTCCTGCTCGATTATATCGTCAGCTCATGGAGACTTTGCCTGGTTTTCGGCGAGCTCAGAATATCCCTGGAGTCCCCTGTGATTCAACAGTGAGTTTCGTAGACTTCGAATACCACGCTCGCTCATAGCCTGGCATCTATGAGGTTCCAATCCCAAAAATCCGCATGAGATATTGCTTGAAGAGCTTGTATGAGGTACATATTTGATTCCACTCCTGCTTGGGGAATCTCCGGGCTCGAAAGCTTTTCGCGAACGTGACCGCGGCCCCGAAAAGATTCGGGAACGTTGACACGCCACCACGTGACTCGTAGATCGCGAGACAGCATGGGAGAGACCGCGACCATGCATTCGAAGAACATCGCTCGAGAAATTCGGTTGGCCCATTTCTTCGTCATGCAGATCCGAGCTCACAGGTGCACATCGTCCCTCATCGTGACCGCGGAAGGATCGGAAGGATGTCTCGGATGAGGCATTCCTCGCGGAGCGAAATCCTCGCCACATAAACTTTCGAAGTAGAAAAACGACAACTCAGCATGTCTCCTGCTACACGACCTATACGGACTAAACCTGAAACTATAACAGCTATTGAATCAATGGACGGTGGATTTTGAATCTACATCATTACATCACCAGCGGAAGCGGCGTAATAGGCATGCATGATGAGGCTCACCGCGAGCTCGACACCCCCACAGAGATCGCTCAGTCTCCGCGCAACCCGTTCGGAGTCGCGAATTGTCTCGATCCTCTGTAAAAGTGTTCGACGAGTCTCAGAAAGGTGATCTCGAGGTGCCGCTCGCGATATCGCCTCGCTCCGCCGTCGACGAGATTTTCGTTCGTGCGGGAGATGAGCGCAAGATGAAATAGGGCTCCGTGGTGGAAGGCGACGCTGAATCCATGGATTCACAAGAACGAGAATATACAGCATCTAATAAAGAAAGCATACCTGCAGCCCAATCAGAGCTTCTGAGAAAGAGTGACATTCATACCGGAGGATCCATCTGTGTATGGATCGGCTCTCTCCTTCCTCAAGTCTCAGTACGCGGCTGAATGCGTGACATTGACGACGAATAACGAATAAAGAATTTTCCGAATAAAGACGTCTGTAGTCCTGAGGATTCCGTACGCGTACTCAGCCTGGAGTGTAACCACATTCGTAACCGCGTAGCACCGCAGAGAAGCTAGTGCCGTGGAAGGCGATTCGAATTCAGCGGAGCGACGTAGGACGGCTATCGGGAGCCTGGGGGTCGCTATTTACCTCGAGTGCGTTTCGAACTCGACTCAGATAAGAACGTTTTTTTTCGTTCGTCCTATGGAATCTTCGCCGTCCGAAGTCGAGCCAGTTTCCAGTGTCGCTACCCTAGCTCCGGTGAACTTCATCCACCACATAAACAATTATTTTCTCGTTTGCGAGGGATCGAGTCTCTCCGTCTACAAGGATCGAACGCTCGACTGTGTAGTCAGTCGGCAGATTCTCCACTCTCAGAACGTCCATGGTATCCGATCGTGCGCGAAAAGTTCCGAAGAGGGAGATCTCATCTGTTATGGAAGTCGCTTCCTCCAGCGAATCGAGCTCGTCTCAGAGGGGAATTCGATCGCTGACGTACAAACAAAAGGACCATCGATTTGTGTAGGAGACTGGATATGGGATCTCAAAGTTTTCAACGACTGCGAAGTGGTGCTCGTCAGTCACAATCGGCTGATTTTTCTGGAGAATGGAACAGTGAAAGGTTCCACGGATTGCGCAATACCCTGCTTACTCTACTCCGGAACGATTGTGGCTGACGAATCGGATGAAATTCTCGTCGCAGCCGGGACCGTTTTCAATGAGGTGCTTCTTTGGAGCGGTCGGACCGGCGAGGTTTGGCATCGGCTGAAAGGCCACGATGGTGTGATATTTTCTATAGTGATTTCCATAGAAGAAAACTTGCTCATCTCTACATCGGACGACCGAAGTGCGCGAATCTACAAGTTCGAGAACAGCGACTTCAGCCGACCCAAGACAATCGCTCAGGCGACAGTCACCGAAATCGCCGCCTGTTACGGACACTCGAGTCGAGTTTGGAAAGCCGTTTTCTGGGGCCGCGCGAATTTCGTGACGGTGGGGGAAGATGGAAACCTCTGCATCTGGCGGGTATCCGACGGGAGTCTTCTTGCTAGGAAGCAGATGCCTTTCAAGAGTAGCATCGCATCGATCTACATCCACGAAGATCTAGCTTACATAGGTGGAGCGCACGGCTGTTTCGCGGCCATAAACATCGACGAACTGAACGTAGAAAACAGGAGCAAGCGTGCAATAGTCACACTACCGTATCTCGGAGCGTGCGGCGTGATTAAAAACGTGACAATTGACCGAGGGCTGTTGATATCCAGCGACTCCGAGGGAAATTACGCGCTACACTGTATGGATTCCAGGAGCAATGACAAATGGAACTCGAAATTCGTGTTGCCCGAATGCAGAGGCTACAACGTGTTGGGACACTCGGAAGGACATGTGTTCACGGGCTGTAAGCTAGGCATCGTAGTGAGCTTCGCGTTGAGTGACACGGAATTCGTTGTGTGGGACACGCAACAGATTCATAGTGGCATGATATTCTCCGTCGTGCCTTTCGTCTGTCACAAAACCGATCAGCTGTACGTGCTCACGTCCGGCTTGAGCGGCTCGATGTGCTGCACCCGATTCTGTGAACGGGACAAATCGCTCATCAAAATCAAATCCCTCGCTTTACCTATCGCACAACAGAGATGGGCGACGTGCGCTATTCTCTTCACAATGACTCAGATCGTGGTCGGTGATCGTCAAGGGAACGTTCTCCTTTATTCCATCTCGTCGGTCGCGAACACCACGCAGCCGCTATCCATTCTGACACATCTCCACGGGAGCAACGGAACCACCGACCTCCAACTCGTGCAGGACCGAATTCTGTCGTGCGGTAGGAACGGTTGCATGTACCAATTAGACGTGCAGAAGAATCGCTTAGTGATTCTGCGGAAACTCTGGCTTCACAGCCCCATGTCTTGGGTCGCGAAGTATCTCTTCTTCGAAGAGAGACTGATGGTCGCCGGTTTCATCGCCGATGAATTCGTCGTGTGCGACCCAGAAACCGACTACGTATTGTGGTCCATCACCGCCAAAGGCTGCGCGCACAAACCTTGGGATTGCGGTATACACCGGGATCGTCTATATTTCGCCACTGCCAACCGGATAGATGGAGGAGTCAGTTACGAGCAAATTGACATTAGGAAAAAACTCGCGAAGATTGCGAAGCTTCCGTTGCACAGGAAGAAAATAAATTGTGTACAGACCTTGTGGAGCGAACCCGACAGAACGGTCATCGTCACCGGCGGAGAGGACAACCTAGCAATCATATCCGAAGTGAAGGGAAATCGAATTCGACCCGTGATTCGACTCTACGAGCACATTTCGTCAATCAAAGCGGTTGATATTGTAGAAATTTGTAGCGATGATAGACTTCTAGTGACCTGCGGGGGACGAGCCCAGCTGAACGTTTGGTGGATAGCAAGTGATCTCAGTGTGAAAGTCATGGACCAGCACTTCATCTGGAATCCGGACCGGAGCTCCAACAAACCGTGGAAAAACTCGTATAGACGGAAACTCGAAGCTCTGACAAGATACATGGCTGTTGGGCTTAAGCGGATCGAAAAGAGTATTCCCCCGCGTTTCCATATCACTACGGCCTGCTCCGATGGTGTGATCCGGCTCTTCGACTACGTCTTGGATGGCAAGCTCGAAATACTCAAAGTGATCACCCCGAACGAATTTTGCCACCAGCAGAGCTTCTGGTTGTCTCGGATGGAGACGTTTTCTGGATGTCCGGATCCACCCGAAAACGGTCTCATTGTCAACGCTGCCACGAATGGAGAACTTACGTGTTATGATGCGTCGAGCTCTCCGGAGTGCTTGGCTCAAGCCACCAGAGTACATCAATCCGGGGTAAACGCAGTTGCGTTGCGAGGTCGTCACATAGCGACAGGAGGAGATGATAACGCACTGGTAATAACTGAGTTACGCACCGTTCCGACCCTACCGACTCCCGTGGGGACGGCTGACGAACCGGAATCAGGACTACGCTTCAAGTTCGAAATCAAAGCCACGATGGAGAAGGCGCACAGCGCACAAATCACCTCGGTCCAATGGTGGACGGATAAGATTCTCATGACGGTTGCAATCGATCAGAGAGTGTCCTGGTGGACATTCGATGAAAATTCGACGCTCTCAAGCTGCGCCCGATCAGTCATGGTTTGCATTGCGGACGTATCGGGGGCAACGATCCTCGGCAATAATGACATTTTGATAGTCGGCCAAGGGGTGGAAATCATCCGCCCAGGTAAGGCTGAAGAACGAATCGACTGGATATATTTTGGATTGGCCATGAGACTTATTTTAGCAGCGGTTAGATGAGGAAGGGATTCTATTCAGATGAGGCTCTCATAAGGAGCCGCGTGGAGTTTTTGGAGCAGACGACGGAACAGCTGGATGATACAGTGCTTGCGCCGGCTACAGAATCGGCGGACTCCGACCCACCGTCACCAACATTCTGAGAGGTGAGAATCGCGCTCACGGAACGACTTCTCGTCTAGGCTCGGCAATGTGGGACGAGGATTTGTGGGAGGAAAGATCCGTAAGAAAACCGAAAGCCTGAGGGAGAGCGCAGTTCACGCTCCCAAAGAGCAGCGTGTTTATATTCCCATTTCCAGTCGGCATGAAGACCGCTCCGGAAGATTTTCGGAAAACTCTCAGGAAATCCTCCTGTAAGAATCGAATGAGTCGGACCTGTTCGCGCACTGCTTTCCGGGAGCTCCCACGGTGAAGATGACAGTGAGGTTCCGCAAGCGGCGTGTTTGAGCAACAAATACTTCCCGGGGGTTTCCGCGCTCTTCCCGTTCCTTTTCTTCAAGTTGCGCTTCAGACCTGTAGTCCGGGAACCTTTCGTCTCCAATGCATCTAGCTCTGAATTTGACACTTTCCAGCCTCGAAGGATGGCTACCAGAGGAGCTCTGATTGTTCTCGAGGGTCTAGATCGAACAGGGAAGTCTACACAAGCCAGAACTCTGGTCAAAAACCTCAACAGCAAAGGAATACTCGCAGAGCTCCAAATTTTTCCCGACAGAACGACTCAAATCGGAAAGGTAAGTGAGTTCGATGAAGCAATGAAACATTCTCCCGGAATGTGGTCAATGAGAAAATGAGGAGAATTCTTCCGCGCTCCTGCAACATTCCGATAGGGAGCCTTGACTCGATTCTGAGGAATTGGAATTTCCTCGCCAGGTGATCAGCGAATATTTGAGCCACGCACGAGACTTGGATGACCGAGCGATCCATCTCCTATTCTCCGCGAATCGTTGGGAAAAGAAGAATGCAATGGTGTCGAAGCTAGAGAAAGGTGATATATGATGAATCGAGTCGTCTCGTGATGCGGACACGCTCCTGCGGACGGGAACGTTCCCTTGATGTCGATTCTCCAATTGCAGGAATCTCTCTGGTCGTTGATCGGTATGCTTTCTCGGGAGTGGCCTTTTCTTCTGCGAAGCCGGGTCTTTCCCAAGAATGGTGCCGCCAGCCTGACGTCGGGCTACTTAAACCTGACGTTGTGTTCTTCCTCACGGCTGACCCGGAGACCCTGAAGCAGCGCGGAGGATACGGAGAAGAGCGTTACGAAAATGTTGAGTTCCAGAAACGAGTCGCCGCAGAGTACTCCGAGTTAGAGGATCCTTCGTGGATCCGCGTTGACGCGACGTGGTCAGCCGAGAGAATCGCTGAACACTTGCTCACAACGGTCGAGAATACAATGCGAGCTCTGCCGGAGAAAATGCGTGAACTCTGGGTGGATTGAATGTCGTCTGTTCCGCTTATCTATGAATGAACTCCGAGAACTAGCGCTCGAAAAATCAAGATTCCATGAATTCACTGTATCCTACTCACTCTCGCTAGTTTCCGGGCCAAGCAAGCCCTCGGCTTAGCTGATTCCCGTATTGGCTCTCGAGCGAAACTCCATGATCAGCTCCGTCTCCCGATGAGGGACGGAAGAATTTCGAGACAAAACATCCATCCAATGAAAGCTCAGCATCTTCAATCGAGGGTTCCCATTTATTTTCCAAGAAAGTCTCCTCTCCTTTCCTCTTAATTCGCCTACTCGACATAATTCTATAGCTTTGTCATGTCCTGGCTACTATGATTAGATCTACTCGTTTCGGAGACTGTTCACTGTCCTCAAAATACAAGAGTGTACAACACGGCCAAATGTGATTTCATTTCTCTTCTGATGTCCCTAAGAAGTTATCGGACGCACCCGATGACTTGACTCGAATGTTGCAAGGGAAGTTTTCAATCTCAGCACGTACTGCCGTTTTTTGTCAATCGATTCCACTCCCTGATTCGTGCTCATTCCAATGACAGATTTAGAAATGTTGTTGTGTCGCTCAGGCTTTGCATATTTCGGAGAATCTCGAACTCGATATCGTATCATGATTTTTCCCTAAACGCCGTTGGTAGGATATGGTCCAGATTCGACACGTCTGACGCGGTCAGAGACCGCAGCTACAAATCAGCGATTGGACCGATTCACGGAAGACATCACAGGCTCTCAATCAGCATTTCCCAGAATTTCGAAAATAGGTGCCGTCCCTTGATATGAAAGAAACAAACGTCACGCTCTCCCAAATGCAAATGAAGCAAAACTAGAGGCGGGCGCACAGAGTTGGCGGATTGAAAATTCGTTCATGGTGGCGATTCAAATCTCTTTTCAGAGTCCCTAATAAGGGAAGCCGATTGTTCAAGGAGCTGCTACTCTTCTCTCTTCTTGCTTGCGTGAAAATTCCTCCGTCAACTAGCCGCCTATGAACTCAGACCCCGACGCCAAAAATAAATATTCGGAAGATTTCGATGTCGATATTGATATCGTGAGAAGCACACCCAATTATTAGACACAATTACTATTTGATGATATCGGTGACGATTATAGAAGCGACATGGGACGTATTGTCCGCTGCACGTAGACTGTACTTATTTGGGATTTTCCTCTGTGAAGAACAGACAGCGTTTCTCACAAATATACAATACATCCAGCCAGCCAGGCGATCGGTCTCAATCACGCACACAAGCACGCTAGTGCATTCTTCCGCTCGTTCGCAATATTCGGGACACTCGTTTTCTCTCACCTCTTACAGGGTATGCAATAAATAGGATAGCAACACAGACATTCGATACGAATCGATCGATCCATCCATCCAAGTGGTGGCTCTATGGTTATATCATTATTACAAGCCTACAATAGAAATAATTATAATAATTATCATTTCAATAGGAATACTAATAGCTGATACGAATAAGATTTATCTTCTCAATTAACAACATCCAAACGTACGCACACGTAAACTCCCATATACCGGTTTCAAGAGGTTTTATATTACAGGGGATCTTCATGCATTCGCAGGGGGTTTTGTACAGTGGACATATGTATAGATTCGATTATCATATAGTTATTATTATATTAAAATTTCTCTTTCTGATCATGCCGCTTCCCGCAGAACGAGCCGAATCGAGCTTACTACTATTTTCCCAGCATATCAAAGTCGAGGCCAAAATACGTTCTGCGAGCGCGCCGAGTCCCCCCTCCCAGAGATAGCAATTCTCTCCCAAGAGCCTCATCGAATCATGGAAGAATCTACAGCGAAACGAAAGCTACGCGTTGATCGATGAATAGAAAGATCTTGCGTCAGTGGGTCCAGCTATCTAGGTTTCTACAGATCGACAAGTGTGTCATATAGTATGTACACTCAGCACTCAAATTCCGCTTTGGCACTGAGGTATCGCGAACATCGCCGTGGTTATGCTGTGGGTTCAAACTTCGAGAAGAGTATCTCCTGCTATCTACAGACGGCGTATCCGCCGACTCCGTTCTGTTTCACAGTCGTGGATGGGTCTTCCGACAAGCCCTGGTTGAAAAACTTCGATCGTTGGATCAGAACCCGCTGTAAATTCCGTTTCCGGTGGTGGAACTGTGGGAGAAAATGATAGAATTAGTTCTGAATGAAATTCAGATGGCGGGGGAGGATTGAGTTTCGAACTAGGGGAGCCCTCGATGAGCACGGAGCATGTAGAAGTCGGATCCTATTTTGCTTACATTCAGAGCTTTCATAACGTCCCTCTCGATTTTCCTCGCGTTGGATGACTGCGTTTGCAGCGGGAGCTCCTCTCTGATTCGCGTATTCCGCTTGAATGGTTTTTTCGTCGAGAAGAGCTCAAAAGTCCCCGCAGAGATTTCGAGCTGCATTTTGATCGGGAGCAGCTGTTGTTTCCGTCTGTCGAGACGATACTCGCAGACGAAAATGTCCTCCGAATTTATGTGTGTGGGTTTGCCCGCACTGAAATCCCCAACGTTCAACACACAGCACACCCGGTCTTCGACCAGGTCGCTGAGCGGGATGGCGGTGGCCTCCGGTAGGCGGACGAGCTCGCGATCGTTGACGGTCCGATTTTTGAATAAAGCAGGGAAATGACTCGGTGGTAGGAACTCGAAACCGCGAACATACTTTTCCGAATCCTTGACGAATATGTCACAGATCTGAATCACACAGCGAACGTCCGATTTCCTGTAGCCGAAACCCCCCTTGTGCAGGAGAACGCTGCCGTTGGTTACGCAGAGCATTCTCACGTAAGGACTTGAACTCGTGTCCTTCTCGGGATCTTCCAGAGGTATATCCAGGAGCGGCGGCTTCGCACACGACGCGCACTTGACGCGTTTCTCTTCTCCTCGAGAGGCGCAGTGCTCGTGTAGACAGCGGTCGCAAGACTCGCACTTCTGCACTCTAAGATGACGGGACGTCGTTCTACAAATGCAGTCCACCGTCCGGTGATCGATGGACGCCGCGTTGCCGTCATCTGCAATGAATAAAAAAGAGCGGATTGATTGGAATGCCGTCACTTCCCTGCGCCTTCGGCATGACTCCGATAAGTTTTTCGGGAACTACCTCTCGGCAGGGAAGGAATATTACTCACCCATAGCGATGTCATTCAGCATGGGCGTGCAGGCCAAGAGCGAGTCCTTATACGTTCCTCTCAGAGCTCCTAGGTCGTTGACGAGATCGCTTTCGTATTGTTCGGCATACGATGTCCAGTTTGAGAAGAGTAGTTGAACGTCGGCGCAGAATTGTTCGACTGAAGCGTACGCTCCCTTGTCGACGTTGGCTTCGATCGTTGAAAGATCGATCGGCTGAGATATGTGCTGATAGTAGTTGAGGAACTTCTTTTTCGGCGGAAGTGTATTCAATCGCAGGCAGAGCTCCTTGCCGTGGAGATCCCTGCACGCATGGATAGCGTTGAGGATGTCCTTGAAAACTTGCGCCATTTTCGCTGCCCGTACGCAGTTAGTGTCGTCTTGAGCTGCCGCAAGCTGCCTCGTCTTCACGGAACGGGCCGTGCTTAGGGCCGTCAGCTGGGTTCTGAAACCTTCGTTGCCCTGATCGGCTCCGTTCTCCTCCTCGACCCCCCGAGAGAGACCGCGCGTTCTCCGAATGAGATCGTAATTACGTAGAAGGAAGAGATTGTGCTTGAGCACGAAACACCTTTGCTGATGCGACATGGGTCTCGCACACGAAACCTTCACGAGATTGTTCGACTGCGCGCCGTTGACTTTGTCTTTCTCGTCTTTGATCCGATTGGACGCGGATTTTTTCCGCTGTTGTTTCTTGTTGCCGGATTTCTTGCCGCTCTGACCGAGGTCGATCTTGTCGCTCTTTTCCACTTTCTTCCGAGCTCCGATGAAACCTCTGCAGTTCTGACTCCCGCATCGACACAGTTGTTGTCGGTCGTTGTTGAAATTTTCGAAGTTGTAGTCGTAGCTGAGTTCGGTCATGGCGGGTATGTCCTTCAAGGAGAAGAGCGCGATGCGATAAACTCCATTGACCGACCATTTCTGCATTTCGCAGTTGGGCTCACAGCTGTGGTTGACGAAACGACCCTCGTTGGCCATACGGTATCCGTCGATGACCATCCCACCGCTCAGGTTCAGACAGTAGTGATGCTTGTCGTTCTTGTAGACCTCTTCCATACGTCTGCGGAACAGGGTGTCCGATACGACCTCGCCAATATACTCCAAAATAAATTGACCCGCTTTGATGGTTTCGAGCGACCGAACGCCCCAGCCCCTATCTTTCGTTTTGAATCGCTGCAGTGCCGGACACCATTCGAACTTCTGAATTTTCTGATTGTTGCATTTCTCCCCGACGGGGCAGAGCGCCGCCGAGCACTCGGCGTACATCATTCGATTGAGGCATTCGCTACCACACCCGTACGCCTCGTCGTCGCTTGAGGGTTTCTTGCACATGCACGCCTGAGCCTCGTACTCGGATATGGGTTTGACGTCTACGTAGATGTTTGATTTGATACGCTTGTAATTGGCTCCGCCCAGAAGATCGTTGCTCATTGGAAGTTTTTGATGTTTTCGAAGATACCAGATATCGTAGGGCAATCGGAAGTGCGTTGTACTGCCCATGAGATCCAGACCAGTGTTGACGGGCATGGGCAGAAGTGGAATCGGCGAAGATTCGGTTTCCGCTCCGTCTTCGGCTTCTCGGTCCTCACTGCAAATCGTGGGGATTCGATAATTATCAACGATGCTCAAAATCGAGGTGTGGCGAGGCTTTGGCCCCTCCAGACCATGGGCAGAGCTCTATGGGCTCAGAGGCTTCAAAGAGCGGACTCCGTACATTATTCGGATGATTTTTTTCTATCAACCAGACCGCTTTGGAATTGGGACTCACCTGTCGTCTGCGAATAGTCCGGCTTTCAGGGTCTTCTTCCTGAGAGGCGGTGGAGTGTGAGAATGCCTCTTCCCGTGCTTCTTATGACATTGGTTGGCGCCGACGGCACACCCCTTCGACGGTTTCGTGACCATGATTGTGGGTCCTGGAAGAAGAACAATCAATATGAATTCCCCGGACGAGTTCCGGCCGTGCCAAGATCCTTCGTTTTTGCCCAATAATAACTTTCAGGAGCACGAAGCATTCGACTGTCCCACTTTGACTCCGGCGAGGCTTACCTTCTTCGTCGTCGGGATCCTCTGCAGCGGTCTCCTTCCTGCTGCGATGCTTTCTATGCCGGTGACGTTTGTGGTGAGATCCTTGGGTTCGAGCTCTTCGTTCGGCCAGCTCTTCAAGAGTCAAATCTTCGCTTCGTTTATCGTCGAGGTCGTCGTCATAATAATCGCCGTCGTCTTCATCGTCGATGTCGTCGTCGCAGATCCCATCCTGAGCTCCATCATCGACAGCCGCTGTTGGGAGTTCGGATTCGTTCTCGTCAGCGTCAGGAACGTCCTCCGTTCTGATGACGCTCTCGATGAGTTGATCCAACGTACTTTCCTCTCGAGGGGCGTGTTTCCGACGGCTTTTCGACTGTTTGGAAACTTTAGGTTTGCGTTTCTCGGTTTGTGTTTTCAGTCTCTTGTGTCGGCCCCGCTTTTTTGTTTTCTCGACCTGGGCCGCAGGAGTGGCCATGGTTTCCACGGGGAACATGTCGTCTAGTTCCGGCGACATTTCTCGTACTCTTTCCTCGGTCGGCTTCGGTGGAATTTCCAGTCTCAACTCGGGTTGCATCGTTTTGGTGATGCCCACAAACGACGGCGGGGCGTCGTCTCCGCAGATGGTTGCGGGTTGGGTAAGAGAACTACTGTCCATGTCCGTGATGGGCGACAGTGGTTTGGGCATAATTTCGATTTGAGTAGAATCCTCTTCTGGATGCTCGACTGCCAGTCGACTCCTCTTCGTCGCCGGCACAAGTTCCTCGGCGCCGCTTTCGGCGGATTCAAGCTCGTCGTCGGGCCTCTCTTGGACCTTAGCGGCCTTGGCGATCTTTTCCATCGTTTCCAAAGCGGTCTTCCGTCGGGAGCGTCCGTTTTCCCTACTGGGAGCATCGAAGTCCTCGGGCTTCGACTTGCCGCCCATTTCGAGAATGTATCGACTTTCTTCCAGCAGTTTCTTCAAAACAGTAGCTTTCGCAGGCCGCCCTCTGCCACGCTTCAGCGATGCAATGTCACCGGGTGTTTTGGTCTCGTTTTCATCATTGATCGCGGACTCCGCCGCAATATTCGCGGATAAATGTGCTGTCGCCACCACCGTGGCAGTTACGTCCGGGTTCCCTTCGGCTTTGATTTCGGGAAGGTCCGCCAGGACGCGGGATACACCGTCGTTCACTTCAGCAAGCGGTTCCTCCACGATGGTCGGAGGTTTCGGTGTTCGCTTCTTCTTGGCGGCGATCTTCTTCGAGATCGTTCCACCCTTTGATCTGTCCAACGGTCTCTTTTCCTTGGGCTGCTGGATCGGCACAAGGGGCGACTGTGGAACAAACGGAAAATTGTTACTTTTCCCTCTCCTTCCGGTCGAGTGAAGTGGAGAAAATAGACTAGACTACCAGGGTTCTTGAAACCACTGTGAGACGATTCTCCCAAAGTTCTGTAATACTACAACAGAACAGTTCCTCGGAACGTATCATTGAAAGAGTAATTCTTATGAATAATTATTGTCTTTATCGAACCTTGGGGGGTTCCTCTTCGAGAGTCTGTAGGGCGTCCTTGTTCCGCAGCCGATTATTCGGGAGCTCGTTCTCATCCCGTTTCGGTTCGGCAATCCTCTGATCCTCGTTCCGAGAAGATCTGCGCAGAACTGTCGTCGTCCCTGTCAAGTCGAAGTGGTCTTGATTGTGGTTGTCTTCGACCCGCATCGGGACGTCCGACGACGTCGTCCTCTTCGACCTCGTTTCCGGTGCGTTTTTGCAGCATAGTAAGCATCCTTTGCGTTTTCGCGAGTTTGCCGGGAAGCCAGTCCTGTTAGCTCGCTTCTTCTTTGAGCGAATCGTGGAAGCGCAAGTGCACACCTTAATGACGGGAAGAGCGCTAATTCTCTGGAGGAAATTTTCCCGGCGGAACATCGGGTTGACGTCCCTGACGCCGGGACGCTCCACCGCCATCGGAAGCGCGAGATTTGTGCTGTTTTTGTCCTTAAGCGATAGAATACTCTCCGCCAACTGAGAAAGCTCCGCCGCGACGCGATAATCTCTTTCAGTTGGTTTCGATCTTTTCTTCTTCTTAGCAGGAACCGTCAGACTCGAAGGATGCGCGGATCCCCAGTCGGCGGTTCCTTGCTGAGCGTTTCTCGCCGACAGATTTGCCTCGGGGAGCGGGATTTGAAGCAGGGGGGAATAGGGTTCCTCTTTGAAGTCCTGTTCTCGGATAGATTGCTCTACGCAGCCCAGGAGGTCGTTGAGATCATCGTCGTTCTCTTCGTCGCCACCTTGTTCGGTTTTGACTTTCGGATCCTCGACGGCGGCCGCCGCCGCGGCAGCAACGCGGAGCTTCACCGCGGTAGGTGCGGGTGAAGGCGCGGGACTTTCTGACGATAGGCGACCGACTATTCCCATGTCGTAGTGATTCAACGGACTCATCGAAGTGGATTCCGGAGGAGGTTCCGGTACGAAGGGTTCGGCCCGAGGGACCGCAGGCTTGGGCCTGCAAGCGACCGATTCCTCGGCTTCACTCATGTCGTCCTGCGAGGAGATCGCATCGTATTGATGCGCGGTAATTTGTGGCGTGTACTTTGTCGAGTGGTCCTGACGTTCCTGAGGTAGACCGGCCGCGTGGGTCAGCTTCTGATCCACCTGATTTTTCCTGAACGACGCGGGACTCTGCTGAAGAGCTTGGTGACTCGCGTGATAGAATTCGTGGACGACCGGACTCGAGGTTTGGGCTGATGTTGCGAAAGGGCTTCGCATATCGGAAGTATTGCTTTCCGAGGGAATCATTTCGTGAGGTATCAAATGGCCGTGAACTCCGGAAGTGAGTAGACTCGTGTTGTATCGCGGCGTCGAAGGCGAGGGTGAGGGAGAAGCAACGCAGGTTTGCAGTGTGGGGCGCTGAAAAAAAGCGCGAATGAGTTGAGGCGACCCAGTAATTTATGCCGCGTCCCGAGACGGGCTCAAAACTGAATAATTCCCGCGCAATCAGCTATATACTGCGACCGATTCACATCATTTCTCTTCTCGACTGGTGCTTTCATCGAAACCGAGATCACGCAAGATCAGAACCCCGGATCTGGCTTTTTCCCTCCTGACGATCGTAATCCATGCATCTTTCTCAGGCCAGACATCCAGATTGACCCACCGGTGGGGATATATCGATCAGGTCGATCGTTCGATTGATCGAAGGCATCTCGGTGGACGACTGCGGCTCCAATTTCTCGTTGAAATCCATGAACGTTCCGTGGGAGAAGAACTCAAGCGCTTTCTCGACAGTCTCGACAAGCGCTAATGTCTTATGACTGTCCGGTAGAGGCGGTGGATGTAACAGCTCGGAGCTCGGATCCGACAATGGCAACGCGCCGGGATCGACCGTCGACAACCAACTCTGGACCTGCGGGCAAAGCTCGTGGAGATTAGAGTTCGTCCGAATTTGATGGCAAGCCCCATTTCATTAAATTCCAGGAACACGTACCTGTAGGAGCGAGCTGTTTGGTGCTTCAGTGAGATGAAAGGGCAAAATCGGTTGAGGCGACAGCTCTGTGCACGATTGGACTCCGGAGTCCGGTGATACATGGTTCTCCTGGCAGTCGAAATAGACAGCTCTGGTTGGAGCGGCGACTGGACTCCGCGAACTCCGCGAGCCAGGAGCTGCGCCTTGAACTTCATCGGGCGCGAAGGATGAGATGCAAGTCGAACAGCTTTGTCGACTATTATCCGAAGCACTGCTGCTACCACTGCTGGAGCTGGTCCCGCTACAGCTCTGTGAATTGAGGGAACAAGATGCGAATGAAAATCCGAAGCTTTCATCCGAACCGGAATCGGATTCTCTGGGATCCCCATCGCAGTGAGGTCTAAGAGACGGTCCGACATGGTCCCACTGATCACTTTTCGTTGAGAACCTGGGGAAAAGGTTTTTGATCCGAGATCGTACTCACCCCTGAACACGAACAGCTACTTCGGCTCCCAGAAGGCGATCTGCTGCCGCGGGACGATGACGTCCCGCAACTGTTCGACCTGGAACTGTTGCTCGAGTCGGCGGAACTCCCCGAGCCGCTCTGGGAACGTTCCCGTTTTCGTCTTCTTCCCGGTGGGGCGGACTTATGGATTTTCAATTTGACGTTGCCATTCCTCTGGATGACGGCCGATTTGAATTGAGCTCCGGAACTCCTTACGGAGGAACAGCTCGAGCACGACTCATCCTTGTCGTCTTCGGAAGATGACGAAGTCGAACACGACTCCGAGGAGCAAGTGGAGCCCGATGTGGCTGAAGACGCCGAGGACACTGAGCAGTGGTCTCCGTCCGCCTGGGAGTCCATAACTGAAATTTCCCATCGATTAGGAAGAGCATACTTTCAATGACGTGCGATTTTTGGGTTTCTCCCGTTGGTTTGTCCGACGGGGGACGGTTTCGACCAATTCTAAGTTTGCGAGACTTCGGCACCGATGATTTGCGGAGAGTCTATACGATCGGATTCATCGAGATCAAACGGAACTTGATACGATCCGAACTCATGAACCTGCTTGCGTATTCGTTCACGGGCCAATTGTGGCAAAAAGATCATGGTTTCATAATATGATTGATGATGAGTAATCACATGATCATCATGAACAATTCGGCTCTCGGTGTTCGAGAGAGAGGGAGAGTTCGGGTGATTCATGCGGCGCTTCGGAGTCATGCTCTTATCTCAAAAACTCGCACGGACTCGCTCAATCCGGCCCGAACCACTGAGCTCGTCCGATCGCGACTGATATTTTCAACGGGATCGGATTCACGCTCGTCTGATTCCGATATCGCTTATCTTGTTCGGGTCAGCATTAATTAAAAGTATCGAGGTCCGTGCTCGCACCCGCTCAAGCTTTGTTGATTATCAAGTATCTATAGTACCTATATGAAACATCTTCGTGGGATACATCCGCCACTCGATAGTTGAGCGGTATCGGACAAATGATTGAGTTTTCACCTCCAAAGAAAATTTGGGAAAACTCCATGGAGTACGATGGGTTTATTTACAGAGCCAGATTTCTTCTGCTGATCATCACGGGGAGCGCCTTCTCCAATCAGGCAGAGGCATATCGCTCCAGCGACAATAAGTCAATCGAGATTTTCCAGCGCAAAAGAATCCCATCTTCTGACTGCCGGAGAGATTTATTTTCCATATCTGACAGCACCGCTCGTGCTCCCTCTGTATCAACCAAATTCCACTTGAAATTCCTCGCGTTTCTGTAGCTGTGACTGTCTGGATTCCGTCGGATACCAGAAAATTGACAAGTGCCCGTTGCTTCTCGTCTAGCGGTCCGATCTGGTGGAAGCCTTTTTCCTCATCGCTGTCGTGGTGCTCACCACGGAACGGCGGATTCATCGCTTGCGAACAAAAAGCCGCAGGGACCGTATGTCACGTTTTTTGAAGAGATCCATTCCCGATGAGAATGATTATCTCAAGCACCCGGTGCCTCGGAGCTCGAATTGTCGCGAAGGACCGACGATGACCACTCTATTTCCAAAATCTTCTTCGCACCTGTTCCCAGTACTCCGTGACCTCGATGCGGAAGTCAGCGGATTCCAGAAGATCTTTCAATCTCGGATTGTGCAAAGAGAGTTGATCAGGAACGGTCTCATCGCTAGCCGAATGCCTTCGCGGGGCAGATGTTCTTCGGGGGCCCCCGTAGCCGCTGCCGCCGCCGCCGCCGTAGTCGTCGCAGACAGCACAACCTCAGCCACACGGCGTCCTCAGAGACCGAATAAAGACTCGCGGGTCCATTTTTTCTCCATATAAGATAACCAATGATCCCAGACCATGAAGAAATTCCACTCCTTCGCTACATTCAATCGGTTCAAATAACGTAGACTCTGCGATAGGGATACGGATCCGCTTCACAGGGGTGAAGTGCAGCACCTGAGTCGGGCGGGAAATTTTTTGATCAGAATCGGAACGTCAGAAAGTTCCGCTGAAACGCTCGATTAGCGAGTTATCGTTGGCGCTTCGCGTTGATCGGACAGAGTTCAACGACGGAGATTGATCGTTTCGAGGAAACTGATCGGTGAAAACTTTTCGCTTAGGATGCACTTGGAGCAGCACCAGCAACACTCACCTTAAGAGCCTAGAGACTCAGGGCGTTATGGATGCGACCGTTTTTTCAGGTCGAGGGCCTACCCAACGCCTAGCGGGAGGTTCGCATCGTTGCACTGTAGAGAATATCCATCGGATTGGGTATCAGTTGTGCAGAAAATCGCACATTTCAATATATCGCATATACTACTCCAGGCTCACACATAGGCACACACACACACTCATAACAAACACCAGGGCTCCGACGACACACTACTAGGAAAACGCACACCAGAGAGTGGCTCCCCGACGTCCCCGCATATTCGCAAAAGCGATTCCGAGTAAATAAAATCGCACTCGATGAATCACCGCCTTCGACGAGATCCCAATCGCACGAGTCCATTCACGCGCTAGATTGATGATGATTCTCGCAGTTTGGCTGATTTTGATAGCCGCGATGAGCGTCCTTCAGAACGGACTTTGATGCCCGCTTCCTACCGTCATGCCAGAAAGCGGGGCCGCGGTGCCTCACCTCTGGGATCTACTTGCTCTCGGACAGCGACCGAATCACAAGCAGCTGAGCGTAGCTCGTATTAATCCGCCTCCTTCTTCACCATTATAAAACGTTGGTGGAAATTTCAAAACAAATATGGAGTGGTAGGAGAAGAGTGAATTCAGAGCAAGGCAATTTGCTGCGTGCGTGTGTGTGTCGTTGTTGTGGAACTGCTCTATTCGGAAGCAGAGGGTCCGAAGAGACTAAGCTCAGGGGGCTGGTGCTGTTGCTGAGGCCGAGTGAGGACGCCCAGCGTCGCCGTGTCCTACGTAACGTCATGGAACTAGACTATGAGAAGAGGTTGGTCTACTCTCCACGGAAACTCGAAGGCCCAGACCGGATGATTCCCCCTAGAGCCAGTGCAAAGTGGCAGCTCAACTTCGACGCTAGTCCTCGAGAACAGAATGAAAATGTCTACTCGTGCCTCCTTCGCAATGAGCTGCTGGGCGAAAATATCGAGGATGTCAAACAGTCAACTCTATCCCAGCGCCTTTTCAACTACCACAATCGATACAACAAACACGATCCCAACCAGGTGGGTTTCTAAGGGAAGCTAACATTCTAAATATTTCGTCGGTCACCGCGGACCGTCCATCTGGTCAAGAAGTGCTTGTTCACCGTTGCCCGTCGGGAGACTCGATCATTCGAACGTCGATCATTCGAAGTGCTTGCATTTGAGAAGCAGAAAGTCGTTGGACTTTTCTGAGACCTCGATCCGAATGTCTCCTCGTCCTCCACCCTTCACTTCGCCAGGATCCCTACAATGATCCAACGTCGGAGAATAATGTTCGAAGCTCGGGCAGGCTCAGGACCGAATTCCTATGATTCCTGATCATTTCCGTGAGGCTGTGAATACGCCAATTCCGGCACTCTGGTCTCAGATGGAACTCAGCGTTCCTGGGTTTTCGTCCGAGCCAATAGTCGCGAGACAATGAAAACTTTTGGAGAGATTTTGAAACTTCTATTAGTCATCCGTTATTGCGTAACCGCTCAAGTTCACTTGCAACGAAAGCAGTGCGTATCTTGTCACCGCTATACTTCTGCAGACTGCTACGATAGACCATTATCTTGAATTCTCTGAAAATCGCCGAGGGAATTATCCAGCGACGGGATCACAGAGGATGCCCGTGTCATCGACTGTCGGTCTGACTGCGGTTTCGTCCGAATCATCTCAACGATGTGCGCGTGCAAGGCTTCGCGGTGGCCAAGCAAAAGTTTTCTTGGCGAATTAGATTTTCCTTAATATAGAATCACTGTATTGTACATACAATCAGTCTATCATACCATGGATCCTATCTATGAGGGACTCGGCGGGAATCATCGAGTAAGGGGAAACCCCGATCGCGATGTTCAAATGAAATCGAGCGGCGGAGAGCGATACTCATATTTCATGATCACCGCTCGTGGCGTCATCATCCGATTCCGTATGCGGAGAAAGACTACACTCCTTCCGTGATGGAGTTTCCCATTAATCCCTTTCTAAAGGTGGAATTTCGTTTCAGGCATACCAGTTATCTCCCATATCACTACGAAGTCAAAAATTGCTCAAATCTCCGCGGAAGCAAACGAGAAAGATTAGTAAAATACCTTACAAAGTTCTCGATGCTCCCGACCTGCAGGATGATTTCTACCTCAACCTGGTCGATTGGAGCTCGACGAATATACTCAGCGTTGGTCTAGGAGCTTCGGTTTATCTATGGAGTGCAGCTACTTCACAAGTCACAAGGTGAGAGACTGAACCGCATTCACCGTCAGTTCACAGAAATCCATCGATGGTCTTCCAGATTCGAATATTCTCATTGTTCGTAATCGGATGATTCTAATCAGAGCTAATTTTCTTCCAGATTGTGTGATCTCCAAACCGACAACGATACGGTGACTTCGGTATCGTGGTCAGAACGTGGAAATCTGGTGGCCGTAGGGACGAATAAGGGTCTAGTTCAAGTATGGGATGTTTTGGCAACGAAGAAAACCGCGTGTTTCCCCGGCCACAGTGCCAGAGTTGGGGCCCTGGCGTGGAACGGTGAGCTACTGTGTTCGGGCTCTCGGGATCGAACTGTTTTCGTCCGCGATATGCGGCAGCCCCACAATTCGAACGCCAGGAAGCTCTCGGGCCACAGACAGGAAGTGTGTGGTCTGAAATGGAGTCCTGATCAACAACATCTAGCGAGTGGTAGGTTAAGCTCTTTCCGCAAATCGGCTGCGTTGGAAACGACCGCGTTATTCGTCTTCCGGTCGTATACACACGGTGTAAATGCTCTAACGAAAAGGAAAGGTGCTGTGAACTGAGAAATCATTTCGCTGCGATCTCCATTGAGCTCGATTTCCTCGCTTCCAGGCGGCAACGACAACCGGTTATTGGTGTGGACGCTGCAGACGAATACGCCGTGTCAGACATACACCGAGCACCAGGCCGCCGTCAAAGCTATCGCGTGGTCGCCGCACCACCACGGTCTCCTGGCCTCGGGTGGAGGAACTGCGGATCGATACATTCGCTTTTGGAATACTTTGACAGGACAACCGATGCAGAGTGTGGACACCGGGAGCCAGGTGTGCAATCTGGCCTGGAGCAAACACGCATCGGAGTTGGTTAGCACGCACGGTTACTCTCAAAACCAAATTGTCGTCTGGAAGTATCCTAGCCTGACCCCGGTCGCAAAACTCACAGGACATAGTTATAGGGTAAGGAATTCTCACAACAGTTGGGCTATACTTTCTAGACTCGATCGTTGATTTCTCCCCGCATCAGGGAAGTCGGACATCCACGAACTCTACCACAAATTCATTTTTTGAAGCTTGCTAACGTCGATCTATGGCATTCGCTTTTCCAGGTTCTTTATCTAGCCGTATCGCCGGATGGTGAAAGTATAGTAACTGGTGCCGGTGACGAAACGTTGCGTTTCTGGAACGTTTTCTCAAAAGTACGCTCCACGCGTGAAACCAAGAGTGTATTGAATTTGTTCACGGGACTGCGCTGATAGCCGTGCTCAGACTATGATTCGCTGTGACCACACCACATAGATGAACATTGCGTCTATATCAAAATTGTAGAGAAAGGAAGATATATTGAGAGAGAGAGAAAGAGAGGCAAATAACAGAACGTAGAAACCTAGCACTTAGATGGAGCGTAATATATAAATATATATTTCATATATAATTGAATTAAAATCCATTGGAATGTTGGATCTGAGATCACGGATGCACAAGCGTACTCTCTGGATGGCCGAACGTTGCGTTGTTCCGTCATGAGTTCGGAGCTCGGGTTGTTCTCATCTTACCGTTGCGTGTGGATGGATGAGGATAATTTTCGAAAAGCTGCTCGCCGACGTCTCCGAGCGGCCTTAGCGGGCCGTGAGTTGTTGGGAGGAGATTCCACGGAGATCGGGTTCTAGTTTTAGTACAGATTTTCGCTGCCGGGAAGCGGCGACAGTCACGCAAGTCAATCAACGGAGGGTTTGTGTCTTCTGATTGTTTTTCGCTGCGATACGTCTGACGTATCAGTAGGGGGCAAGTCATCCAAGTCCTATACCCTCTGACTCGCTTGAGACGGCAACGGAGCTTCCCTGTTGGGTTTGGATCCGTCCTGACCTCCATTCGACGAGGAAGAACAGAGGTAGATTAAAATTGATCAGAGCAGGATTTGTTGGTAGATGTGCCTAGAGGAAAACGCTTCGTTGACTGCCGATCCGTGGGGAATATAACCTAAATGGTGCGATGCTGGTCAGTGGAAGCGTGAGTTTATACGCATGCGCGAATTGATCCCTTCGAAGAATGTTGTTCCGGTCATTCAGAGAACCTAAATCGCAACATCAACCTGACGTACCCATGACATCGGATTTTTTGAATAGATGAGACCCGGGTCGCCGCTGCGAAATTCCGGAAGACGCGTCTCGACTGGCACCATTCTGAGGGAGATTAGTCTCTTGCGTGAGTTTGTAAGGCGAAACTAATTGATTGGGCGCGAAATGAAGGGCAGAATGCAATTTTTGCGCATCTAGTCCCTATTTCTAGATTTCTTTAGAATTTCGACCAACCCCTGTGTCCCGTTCCTCATCACTTTGTATCTCTTCTGTTTGAACGACGGTTCGAATTCCTTATTTTCACCTGTCTCTGCGAAAGTGACTCTTCCGACTAACTACAATGTCTATAGATCGACTACGGCTGTGCGCTTGTTCTTCAAGACGTAGTTGGTCTAGTTTGTTCTCGAAACCTTTTGGTGTTTGAACGGTGTATTCAGAGCGGTTTGTGGCAATAGCTTGTATATAGGCTGTAAAGAATGGATACGAACACAGAGATAAGTATATAATATTATGGTGATTATGCGGAGGGTAATGATGAACTGAATTGCATCACGGTACGACCTATGATGTTCGGAGACAGTAAACAACGACAACTTCCCTTGCAGCAGGACCGACTAATTTGATAATACCTAATAAATTCATTCAAAAAAGACGAACTTCAGCTTGGCTCATCATTTTCGACCGGAAAATCTTGTGCTCCTAAGCTTGGTTCCCCCAACCGTTCCGCCCATAAACGTCTTCGTCAGTTTGGATCATCTCTAAGAACCTCCGGCGTACAACCGAGGCTCGTTCGAGAGAGTGCGGACCTCTGCCGTGGAACAGAGCAGTCGGAGTCAGCCAGAAGCATGAATATCATGTGTGTACAGCTTGAAACCCTCCCCGAGAAATCCCGGGCCCTGACTCGTGACGCAGGAGCGGAGCGAGTAGCCCCATCGTTTTGAGTTCTTGTCCCCCGCTGGAATCGTGAGATGTCGCCCCAATCCTGATCTATCGTATTTGGGAGAGTCATGAGCCCACTAGGGATCTGAAGGCAGCGACGGCTCTCTGGGCTCGAATTCTCCATTGGAATTAGGGGGATTCGGGACCCGCCGTCCGCGGCGAAGGGGATCGCTCCACGGTGCCCTCCGAGAAGTTGTCGTTCAGCTCTCTCCCTCCCCAGAAAGCGGGAACGAAGCTTCGTGCGTTCATCCTGGCTCTCCGCTAGCGTATTCTCTTTTCCTGAATGATCTGCCAGAAGGTCCTTCCACAGTACTGCCTTTCACAAGCTCTTGAACAGCCCCGATCGAGGGGGCGCCGCCGGGGATGCGGTCGAATAGTCAGGGAGTAGGGAGTCAGGGGGGATAGGCGAAACGAGAAATGTTGATCATAGAAGAAGCATAGGTAGTATAAGGATGGATAGTTGCGAGTTCTGAGGATTAGTCAACGATGATGACTGATGATTGATTATATCCGTTCGCTGCGTCGAGAGCGCAGAGGTTGATCAATCGATTTCCAAAAAAAGAGTCCGTCCTTTCTGCTCTTAATGATACTTCTTTCGGTTTCAAACAACGGTCCAGATATCTGTCACATCTTGCGGATGTTCCTATGAACTTTAACATTTCTATGGAACAGTCGGTAGAATAGAGAACAAGAAAATTAACCTACGCTTCTGTCTATATGTATGGAATATGCATGCATCTAAACTAGTTTTCCATCGATCGATCGATGGTGGAAAAAATTTATACATGGAATGACCATTGAATGTCGAATGATCCCGCAACAGGGAGACGAGGGAGAACAGAGACAAAATTGATTCCGATCCCCGATGAGGGAGTAAAATTGAGACCACCTACTGTCTCCGTTCATTTCCGCGCTCAGTTCCATCGAGATGTCTAATCACCCGTACTTAATTTTACAGAATATGTTACCAGCTAGTGTGCTTCGGACGATCGTCAAGGTTGCGACGACGCTATTGTAGCCTGACCAGGTTTCCGGACGAATTTTTTCCGACGAGCTTTTCTGGGACTCCGCTGAGCCTTCCGTTGGGTCCCGAAAGAGATGTTCACGCAGTGAAAGTCCAAATAGTTCACCAACATTTTATCGTTTATGCGTATGCCGTGTTCTCGAAGCTCTTTCTTGAATTCCGACACCTCAAGAGGTTCAAACCGAAGTATCTTGTCGTAGAGAGCGGGAGTTTTTCTGATGTATCTGTCGAGAGAAATCGGTGAGTCAATGCCGAACTCGAGTCGACCGCTAGCCCGTCCCGAGGATCTCTAGTCGCCACTGAAGGCTCCCGGAGCGCTCGGGGAACAGCGACTCGCGACGTCACGTGCGGATTCGATCTCCTGAGTGAGCTGAGGGCACTCCTGAATATTTTTGGAAAACCTGGAGATTCTTACCTGGTTATTTTCTCGTCGACATTGTCGCTGACTTCTTCATCATCGTCATGGACCATGGTTTCCTCCTCCGGCACATCACTGTCTTCTCCTGATGACGAAGTCGGCGATGCGACTGGCTCCGCGACTACCGGTTGACTCATATGTGTAGCCTGGTAGATGTGCTTCAAGAGTTTCACCGCTTTCTGCTTCCCAATGCCCTTTTTAATTCCATAGCGATCGAGGTGTTTGTGCATCTCAGGGGTTTTCATTGTGCTGTACCTCGGGAGCGGCGTCACATCGAGCCCCTCGACTAGTCGAGACGATCTCGGGGTGACTTGCGGTTGTTGGGCGCCTTCGTCATCGTCTCCATTATCGGAGTAATCATCCGGAAATCGTTTGCTAATTATGGGTTGACTTAAGCTTTTTCTTTGCATGAACTTGTTTGATTTTCTAAATGGCGCGTCCTCTACAACTACTACCGATGCCTCTCTCTCCCCGCCATCGGATTCGGCCTTATCTATGGGACTCAATAGCGGAGCAGGGTGTATCACAGCCTCATCGTCTGAGAACAGGTCCGAGCTACTAGAGTCGAGCTCTATGGGAAGACCTGCAGATCCTCTCGCACTGTCGTTTCGTTTCTCGTCGTCGGTAATCCTCGTGATGAACGGGGTGCTCTGTTGAAAAGGTGGGAATGACTGGGGCAGTCGTGGGGACTGCTGGATCGAGCACCGGTTGTCCTCCGGAATCGTCACCGAGACCGTTTCACATGTGATGCTCATCCGGGTTTTCTTTTGTGACGACGAGGATCCGTCGAGACGGTTCTCCGATGCTAGGGGAAGCTCGACGGTTTGATTGTCGGCCGTTCGTTTCCTCGTCCGACTGTCGGTCGGTGACAGCTGCTTCTGTGTCAATTGCGAGGGGCTCGGCGACCGCTCCCGTATGAGCCGGGCTGCGAGCTCGTCCGTTTGGTACTGGCAACAAAGAGTGAGGAGATCCTTGCGCAGATGACCATTCAGACCGGGAACGAACGACACGTCGGCGGCGTAAAGATACCTCAGAAAGTAGAGAGCAGCCTTTGAAGAGCACCATTTCAAATGCCAAAAGCAGGAATCGGCACTCAATGTTTGTGAGATCTTCGTGCATCGGACAAATAGAATCGCTTTGTGCGCTCGAATCGGCCGATCTGCCGTTTCCACGACAAGGTCGCTACAGTCCTCCGAGTCCACCAGCTTCAGGTACGATCTCTGCAGTTCTCTGACCAGACTCTCCTCATAGGGGTCTTTCTGTTTTTCTGCACGATGTCCACATCCACATCTTTCGCGATTTCCTGAGAAACACAATTGTCCACCCAATCCGAAACTCTCCGATCCAGATCAGCCGGGAGAGGGGGCGCCACAGAATGCGTCGGGGTGCACGAGGGGCTTTTCTCGGTCAAGCAAGCGATCATCGAAGGCACCTGGTGATTGGTAATTATTTCTTTGAGCGCCGATATTTCCGGAATTCTCTGATCCGAGGTAGTTGCCGTTGTCACCGTTGTCGCGGGCGAAACGACCGACGGTTTTGCGAATGAGTCCTTTTCGTGTCGAAGACTCTCCAAGCTGAAATTTACGATCGAAGTCAGAATTTTCGCTTGTCGATGTCGTTAGGGTCGTTCATTCTCGCCTCGGATAAGGAGATCATTCCAAATACGAGATTCTGAGGGATCTCAGAATGCATAACCTGATTCGTGTTGACTTCGGCTGGTCGCATCTGTCAGCCGGTCTGTCTCTCCGGAGCCTCTCTTTCTCCCGAGGTGAAGACTTTCTGCTGCTCTCAGAGGGCACTTTTCCAGTTCTGTCCCGAACAACTTCGGAATCATCAGCGACCAATCGATCACCGCTCGACTTCCGGATCTGTAAGGAGAGCGTCATGAAACAAAGATCGGATTCCGTGATGATTACCTCGGAGCAGCGCGAATCGAACGGCGTTCAATTCCCGCGGGATTAGGCAGTTTTCATGCGATTAAGAGAATTAACTCTTTTTACGGTATTCACATTTTTTTTTAGGACATGAAAAATCAACATATGTAGGTACATGGTCTGAAAAATCAGCGATGGACTCACATTGGAATGATCAGGGTTGCCACAGTATTCTTCGAAACCAGGAACGACGAAAGAATGTTCGACGTCACCGGCTGCCAGCAGGTACAGATTAGGGACGAGACTAGCATTGGTGTTCCGATTTTTGCGGCGTATCTCACTTTTGGGTCTCGGACAGTTTGGCACCGACGAAGCCTCATCCAATACGGTCCGTAGCCGTCGCTGCGTCGAAGCATCCCTCTGCTCGGAGCTGCACGTGAAAAGTGGATGCAGCGTTTTCTGAACGCTCCTGCCGGACTTCCCCCCGGATCCAGTTGCGGTGGACGAAGCGGCCGCTATCCGGCGCTTCGAAGTCTTTATCTGGAGGATCTTCTTCATCTCAGGGCGGGAGGCCTAGAAGTGAGCACTTTAGAACACGCTGTCAAAACGAATGTCTCTCTAAGCGAATCGGGGCTTGAGGGTCGACGAGCTTCCACCACCCGTCACGGATCCGAGCGTGACACGGTAGCTGGACCCGAAATCCGGAATTCCCATCCAGGAAAAGGAACGATCTCCTGGAGTTTTCCGAGAGCCCGCATGGTTCCGGAGCCCACTCAATATCATTCCAGAGCAGCGCCAAGCAGCCTGTTGCGCCGTGTTCGAAAGCAGTTGTCCGACATTCCGCCGTGCCATGTGCGTCACGAAACGCAACCGTACGCGAAAAAAGTCGCGATCCTCGCCGGTTCCGTCCATAAGGTGACCGGAGGACCGACCGCGGATATTGAACAGTTATTCCGCCAGTAGATTGCCAGAGCAAGAGAGCGCAAGGCCACATTCCCGTGGTCAAATGAACCATAAGTTGAGTTCTACTGAGTATAAGGGACGTCCCACTCACCCGTCTCTGCGGTGGAGACCCCCGCACGCCTGCAGCTTCGAGGCTACGGCAGATTGAGAGTAGACGAAGAGCTCACATATTGTAAACTCCGTTCCAAAATCACCAGCAGCATCAGCACTCTTTCGCAATCTCTCACCGAACAGCAACAGCGAAGCAGCACTGCCTGCGAGCGTAAACACGCTTTGAATTTTGGCGCGCGCCACCGGAGCCTCACGGACTCTCGGATTTTCCTCCCGTCTTGTAATTGCCGAATCTCCTACGCCGAACTCACGCCCGCGGCAATCTCGGATGATAGAAGATCCGTTCCATGGAGATCAGCGAAACTGATTGGTCTCAGGCTGATCGTTACCGCTGGCATGTGGTCTGGTTCCAACCGCGGTCGTCATGGAATCTCGAATCCCGCTGATGGGGTCTCATGCGGTTGTTCTTCGGCTCCGCGAGTTGTAGGATCCCCCAGAAGCGTCCCGACATGAACTTGCAGGTACTTGAAGGAGGAGTTTGGGAGATTTGATCGAGGGACCCGAATGCCGATGATTTCTGCTTCGTGTTCGAGTGGTCGGGCGATTCCCCTCATACCTTCCGACCCCGACTAACGGTCCTATGAAGCCTCGAAGAGCGTATTTTCATGATGTGAAGTCTGCATTGTATACGGTAGTTCGGATTCCGGCGCTGAGTCCGTCTTTTCATCATCGTCGTCCTTTGTCGCTCGAAGGCCGGAAGTTCATCTGATCACGAGTCATCTCGGCCCCAGTATTCGGTAAAAGGAGTTCGGGGATTCTCACTCCGACGCGAAACTTTGAGAAATCGAGATGATTCCCCGACCACCTATCCCTCCGTAGGCTTCTCGGCCGGGACCCGTGGTCGCTCGGGATGAGCTCTAGCGCTACAGTCAACGGTGTTCTACACGCGGACCGCGAACCGCATTGCGGCCCGCCACAATGCTTCCAGGCTTCCATGTTTTCCTTGTGAACCCCGCGGATCGCCCGCTTCGTCATCGACACGACACATTGTCGGGAAATTGGACAGCCCCAATCTATGATTCGTTCTCAGAAAAAGTATTCTCGGGGAAATATTCAGCGCTCGACACTCTTCATGAGCAGGGCAGGGGGAGACCAGGGAATTGTGCGGCCCGTCAGGGATCACGAGTCCCCCAAACTGGCCCGCCGAGCCCATGAAAATGTGCACCTCTGATCTGCAGGCTGCTGATGATCGATGTACTCCGAATGCCATCCCGACATACCTCTGGTGCCACTCCGATGGGAGCTAACGATGATATGCTCCCGGTTAGTGAAAGATGATGAACTTCTGATCGTGGGCTTGTGAGGTTTTGTGAGTCGCCTGGTGAATGAGCGCTGGTTGATCAGTAGCATTAGGACAGTGGTTGGGTCTACATTCCATGGTACAAAGATGAGCAGTCGATGTGCTTCTTCTTTGTTTGGCACTCTTTCTGGACGATCAGAATCATCCATGGTCGGGAACTTCCTCCATGATCTGCATCGGGAGGTCGATCCGCGGCTTGGCCTTCAAGTTTTCATGCGATTCAGGGGATTCCAAATGCGAATCGTCATACATGAATTCGTAGCTCGAGGGATCTTCTCCTGGGGACCATCAAGGCAGAATAATCAAATTCGTGACTGATTCATCCTTTTCGGTCTCACTCATTCCAAAACAGACAACATTACTGTGCCTGACGCCGACCTATCGCTGGGGAAATCCTGCCAGCGCGTGGTCTCAGCAGCAGTTCTGGCCTCATGATTTCTCAGATAGGATATACGGGAATTCCGCGATAAGCCCTCGCAGAACGCACAGGACCTATACGAAAACAATACGAGACCCGAGAGGGGTCAGGGTTTTCTGCGAGCGGATGTCGTAGGGGGTACCGCTGGAGCCGGGCTTTGGAAGATCGGACTCCGAAGGGCGCTTTATCGAAGGCGAAGTTGACGGCCGACGCGGGGAAACGAAGTTTCAGGGGTCTTCGACAGAGACCGGTGAAACCTCGGCCTTAGAGACAGAGAGGGAAATTGAAAGCGAGGCGAAGATGCCTTAAACTTTCTCGGCACCCCTGGAACTTTTTGTGCGGGACTTCGCTGCCCACCTGGGCTGACGTGGTACCCGAGTCTCAGGTACCTGAACCCGGGTGCCAGCTCTGTTGAGGATGATCCTCGGTCTCTGCGAAACCCGAACCGCAGAATTTCATTATCCAGGCCGCCATCGCCGGCTGCCGCAACGATCACTGATTCCAAGTCCGTGCCCTGATGTCTATCTGCAAGAGAACAAAAACCTCGAATCTTTCGGCGGCGGAGAATCTCCCGGAAATACTGCTCTTGTGAAGTCGTGGTAGAGTCCGTCCCGGACCGATTTATAATCGGTGGATATCCTTCGTGCGACTCGAAGGCGAGGATTAGTCCTATGGAACTTCATGGGAATAGGATGCATTGTGGTGGGTCACGAAGACCGAGCGTGATCTCGAGGGTCGTCCCTTCTTCTCTACTTACCGTCGGTTACGGCTTATCCTTCTGGTTGAATGTAGGAAGGCTGTTTCCCATCTCAGACGGGGACCAGGAAAGCGCAGAGCCCCCCCAGACCTGTGGTACATTCTGATCTAGCACTATTGGACTCGATCGATTGTTGGAGCTCTTTCTTGCAGCTCAGAAGAGATCGAATGAGAAAGGAGCGCCCGCCTCTGCCTGCGCATGCAGTAAAGATCACGAACATCATTCCCTCCGATCTCTCGTCAACGAATCTCGCTCCTACAAAATTTCACTCAAGATATTCCGGACGGTACCGCAATGGACGTCAGACACGAAATAACGGACGGTGTCTTGAGCACATGAGCCCGTCGAAGAATTGCGCTGTACAAGCGCAGCAGCCTTTTTCCCGGTGTTGTTATCATTGTCATCATGAGCACTCCGCCGCTGCTGCCGCCGCCGCTGCGGCTGCCGCTGGTTGGCTGAAGTCGAATGTTTTACAACCACTGCTCCCGTTGCGGACACTATGAGTGAGAAGAGTGCTGAAGTTTTCTTGTGGAGCGTCTAAGAAAAGGATGGATAAACGCTTATTTGCTCCGTCGGACTCGATGAGGACTCCCTGAAAGTGCAGGCCGGTGCGAAACTCTTCACTGAGGTCAGTTGGTCTGCGAATGCTCTACGGTGCGCCGTACGATATTCAACAATATGTCAACATTCGCCTGTCTCCTTCTCTGAGGAACAGACGTTCGATTCCGAGGGAAAGACGCCCGGGTACTTTGAACTTTAGTTCCTTTGGACTAGGGGCTCGGAAGCATCTGGTTGGCCAGTCATGACTCGCTCCGTGCTCCGGGGACGGAATTCACTAAGGCTGCAAGAGCTCGAGCCCTGCGTTCAAGCTGAGCAACCTTGACAGCTCGCCTGATTGAACGCTTGAGCTGGCTGCTGGCAGTGCCTGTTCGCAACGTAGTCGCCACGATAATTGATCCCGATTGGTCACAGGAGTCTTTGTCGTTTCATATTCCGCTATGTACAATATTGACTCACAAGGATATTTTCAAATCGATTAGATGGGTTGGTTCACATAGAGTCAGATGATGCCGATATAAATGTTCCTTGAGCTCTAGACCCTGGCCCTGACACTCTCTCTCTCATTCTCGTTGTTTCTTCGTACCTTTTTTTCTGCCGAGTGGCGAATCGTTGTGACGGGAGCTCTTTTCGCTAGACTGTACGGTAGCGACTATTTGGCTGAGAACCCTCGTACGCCAGCGTCGAGTTCTGACGGGAATCACGCAGAGATTGGAGCGACAATGTCTCAGGCGGAGAGTCGGAACATTTTGAGTCGGACGATTCGAGTCGGTGATAGGTGTTGTCGATGCGACAACCGGATGCATGGCATACAGCTGATAAGAATTTCTCGAGGATTCCGGTCGGTGACTTGGAATGTCAGATCGCGCTCGAGCCCCATGAACAAGGGGCCTTGTTGAGATCCAAGATAATTGCTGAAGACGATGTTTCTCTCTAGTTGAAACACTCCGAAGATGTCTTCAAAAGCCCCAACAGACAACGGGAAGGTGTCCAGGGTTCGACCGATCCAGAGTGAGTATATGATAGTCACCACGCATGCGATTCCGATAGGGAACGGGAACGAACCGTTCTAGCGCGTTCCGCGGGGTACGAAATCGCCGCTGCAGCTATATCGAAGTTAGCTTTGTAACGAAGAATCTTATCTTATCGATGCCGGTCACCTGGATGATTCAAGGGCATCACGTATATTGGTCGCGGGAATCATTGGCCGCAAACTCTTGCCTGACATTAATTTTCGGACCTTCTGTCGGCCGTTCTAGCGCGAAAATGACCTGCCTCCTTACCGGTACGATAATTTTCTTTTAGTCGCGGCAACTGTGGATCGAGTCGATAGAGAGAGGTCAGATTGACAAGAACCGTGCGCGAACAAGTACAAGAGGCTGCGAGAATCATTCAAATCAGTTTATAAATTCCGACGCGTGCACGCCTGTCCTAAGAAGCTGATAATGGAAAGTTTTTGATCGCTGTTCGCTGGGATCGGTCGTCTCCGACGGGTCCAGTGGGCGACACTCGACCATTCTCGTTCCATTCGAACCAATTGTTACGTGGCATATGCTGCTTGTGAGAATCATGTCTCGAGAGCGGAGGGCCAAATGGCAGCCCTATAGCTCGTAGACTGCAGAGCGCTTTCTTGCCATTTTTTTTCATTCAAACAAATGCCTACTAACTTTGCTCATTCTGAGGGAATCGGGAAGTATCGGGTTAAGGACCCCGAAAAGGAAAGGATCTCCCGACGGCCGGGGTCGCTCTTTTGATTTCGCGCTCCGGAATCTAATATTTTTTTGTCATTCATCTTGAGAAGGAGCCGTCATCGCGAGACCTGTGACATCCGGACCTCCGACAACGAGGGTCGCGGCTATGGAAACCTCAAGGCAGAAACAGCATGCGAGCGAGCAAATGCAGCAAATTCGGGACCTCGAGCTGCAGGTGGCCACCCTGCAGAAGAAGAACGTCGAGCTCCAAAGAGAAATGCACGAAGCTCTCGGACTCCAGCAAATCAAATCGAAAGCTGTCGAGGCTCTCCACAAAGATCTGCACAGTGAGTGACCTTGTACTCGAAACTCCGTGTATCACCGAGAGATCTCTGCCATCACTCAACGAGAACCTTGCGGAGTCCCGGACAGAGAAGAGCTTAGCTTGGAAGGGTCCGGGGTCCGAGTCTTTCCTCTGGTTACCGATAGGAAACCTGAGACTAATCAGTGTATTCTCCTTCATAATTGTATTTTCAGCCAAAAGTGATCTCGAGCGTAGGGTGAATGACTTCCTCACGGCTGTATGCAACGACAACTTGGAAGCGGTGGCAGAGGAGGTGGCAGTACTACGTAAGAAATGCTCCCGGTCGGAAGAGTATCTCGCCGAACTCAATGAACGTTACCGAAACGCGGAACTCAAGAATAAGGAGCTCAGCGAGCTGGTGGCAGAACTCAAGTCAGAGCTCGCGGTGCATGGTTCCGAAAAAGTCCAGGCGAAAAAAGGCGATAGAGCAGAGGAGTTGAAGAACCTTGTGAAACGGAATACAGAACTGGAACAGAGCTGTGAGTAAAGATTCTGGAGATTGCCGATCCGAATGCGAGCGAAGGCTCGGTCGGAACTCCGGGGAATCGAAATTCTAATCAGGTGTATCTTGATGCGTTTCGTTTGGCCCCAACAAAATATCCGCCGCGGAGGTTATATTCATGCTGTCCCATTCACGCCCAGGCCAACTGCTCGGAGAATACAAGGAGAGACTTGTCAAAGTTGAGATCGAGAAGAGGGATCTGAAAGCCGAGAATACACAGCTGAAGGGAAAACTGACGAACCTCCAGAGAGATAAGAAACTCCTGCAGGAGAAACTACTTGTAGTGGAGAGTGAATCGAGTCAAAAACTCAAAGATATGAAAGACGCTCAAGTCCGACATTTGGAAATGCTGTCGAAACTACGGAGGAGTCACACAAAGATCGACTCAAAATACAAGCATCTACTGAAAGAGAGAGCCCAATGGCAAAGTTTATTCAGAACGGCGAATGGCGAACTGAGTCGCAGCACAGAATCACTTGCCTCGATTAGTTCCGTGGCCTCCTCGTCGGTGAGCCGCACGAGCTTCTTCAGGGACAGTTCCAACCTCGAAGAGTACAATGTTCATCTCGAGAGCGAGCTGGTGGCTGTGCAGGAGTCGTTGAAGATTTCCGAACGGGACAAGGAGCGACTGGATCGCAAACTGAAAACTCTCGCGGAGCAGGTCGTCGAAGACGAGAATCTCATCGCGGAACTCGATCAGAATCGAGCTCAGCTGGTGGAGGAGCGGGACTCGCTAGCTGAGAAGTGCGCCTCTCTCGAGGAACAAGTTGTTGTTCTGCAGAGAACCGTGGAGGAACTCCGAGACCAGGTCGACACGGTCCTCTTCGAGAACAACGAAATATCCATGAGAGAGGCTGAAGGACGACAGCAGCAGCTGCAGCAGCGAGAGCTGCTCCCGCCGCCGGAACGACTGAGCGCTTTCGAAGGTCAGGCCGTATTGGCCGAGAAGCTCCGCAGTTTTTACGATAATGTTTTGAAGCAGACGGAAGGCGCCTTCGAGAGGAAATTGAATGCTCTCGACTTAAAACTATCAGCCGTTACGTCCGCATGCGACAGATTGAGATCGGGGCTGATCTGTGAAAGAGCGGAGATGCAACAGCTGAAACTGACCGATGCTGAGCAGAAGAGACAGATTGAAGTTTTGAAGAACAACGCAGAATCACTCGCCAAAGATCTCGGTGCTGAAGTCCGAGAACGGAGTAACTCGGAAATGATGAGACTACAGGACGAAGTCAACGCACGTGAAGCCAAGCTTAAAGATTACGAGAAGATGCAGAAAGTCCTCAAGAAGGCTCTTGTGGAGAACGAGAAATTGAAGAACGACGAAAATCTGCTGGCCGCAAAAATCGGAGCAGCCGAGGCTCGAGTTGTGGAGCTCGAGAGCCAACTGAAGAGCGAACAGCAGCTCGTCACCGAAAGCAACGGTGAGCAAAAATCGTTCCTTATTATCTTTCCGCTATTCCCCAGATGACCTATAGACTATTCCTATTATGATTGGTATCCGAAGATCCACGAATCTTTGAGCGCGCAGCGATTCTGATCTTGAGCCTTCGACTGAATATCAATTCCCAACAGGCAAATTGACCCATCGCTTGCGTCAGGCCGAGAAGGAAAACGATCGACTCCAGAGCGAGTTCTCTGATCTTCAGGCTCAGATCGAGGAATTGACTTCGGTTCGGGCTGCATTGAAGGTTGCGTTGAGCGAAAAGGATTCGTTCGGAGCTGAAGCCGCTACCATGGCTCGGCAAGTCGCCGAAATGGAAGGCGAAGTGTCGCGACTTTCCAGTGAGCTCAAAAAGGCTTCTGCAGAGAATCGGATTAACTTGGATAAACTGTCGGAGAGCGCAACGCAGTCGGAAGCTCTGCGAGTGACAATGTCTGAAAAAGCTCAACAAATTGTCAACCTCATCAAAGATCTCGAACGAGAGCGGGCCTTAAGAGTCGCTCTGGAGGGGAAAGTTTCAGAATTGCGCGATGAGTGTCAGAGACACTTGGAAGAGAAAGATTCGAAGCTTGCAAACTTCGCGGAGGATGTCAGGAATGCGAACCGTGAACTCAACGACGTGCTCCGCGACAAAGCGCGCAGAATAGAGGAGCTGGAGTCCCAGGTTCGGAGCGCCTCGGATGCGAAGACCGAATTGGAGAAGTCTGAAACCAAAGTGCGTGAGCTCGAAAATCTCGTCGAAGACACTCTGAGAGAATGTACATCATTTGTTGCGAAGCTGAACATCCCCGTCAAGCCCGGATTGGAGCTCCGGGAGTTTGTGTCTCAATTTTCTCGGGCTATCGAATCACAATGGGTGGAGAAAGAGATCGCGATATCGAGCAAAGACGCCGAGCTTCTCAAGCTGAAATCGGCGCAGGAGCAGAACGCTTCGTTCAACCAAACCATCGAACAGCTCAAGGAGCAGCTCGAAAAGGACGAAAAAAATCTCAAAAGGTGAGTTTGATTCTCCAAACGCGAGGAACATGTGAGATAAATCATGACGTTGAATGGGTCGTGTCCGAAGCGAGTGAGCTCACTAAGTGAGCTTGTATTTCCAGATACGAGGAGATTTTGACAAATCAATCTGATTGCATCGAAAAAATGAAGTCGGAGCGGCAGCAGTTGGAGGAGAGCATGAAGAACCTGCAGGCGCGAGACACGGAGATCATCGAGGAACTCAGGAAAGCTAACGCTGAGACGGAAAATGAGCTCAAACGGACCAAAGAAACCATGGAGTCATTATCTAAAACATGGGAGATCCGCTGTCGAGACCTCGAGAGGCAACTGGAAAACTTGAGCTGCGAGAAGGAATCCTCGATGATTGCATTGCAAGAGCAATTGCAGAGGAAAATCCAAGATCTCGAAGAGAACAACTTGAAGCTCAAGAGTCTGGATGCGCTACCGATTATGGAACAGCGACTGAATGCAGCATCGGCGGAAATCTCAGAAAGCCACAAACATATCGAGTCGCTCTCAAGAGAAATAGCTGAGCGCGACGAGAAGATTCGAGGCAAGAATCAAGTCATACAGGAGCTTGAGACGGAGCTCGGAGAGCGAATCGCCACTTTCGACGAGATGGCCAAGGTGTTCAGCATGAAGGGCGAAGAATACAAGAAGGTCCGCGAAAGTCTCACCGCTTCAGAGGAGGAGCTCGCTTTGGTAACCAGCAGATTCGACGCCCTTAAATCTTCCCTCCTGAAAATAGTCGAAAAACTCATACCCGAAGTCGAGATCGATTCAGATCTGGAGTCACTCAGTGAGAAAGCTTTCACGGCTGTTGAAGACCTATCAAGAAACTCGGAAGAGAAGTTCGCTCTAGAAAATGAAGTCACTACGCTTCGGAGTCAAATCACCGAAATATCCCGGCTGTCGCAATCCCAAGAGCTGCGGCTCGCGGATCAAGCTCGGGCGATAGAAGAGATGGAAGGCACCATCAGAATGTCCAACGAATTCTTGGAGAAAATCCGACAAGAACACACTCAGACCCTGGACTCGCTGGAAGTTGTGAGAGCTGAGTATTCGGAGTTGAAAAGCAGCTCGGAAGAAGCCCACGAAAATCATTCAATTGAAGTTTCGAACCTCCGGAAGCTGCTGGTGGAGTCTGAGAGCATGATGTGTGGTCTCTCCGAACAACGGAACGTAGAGCTTGCCAACCTGATGGACAAAATCCATTGCCTCGCCAAAGAGAACGAACAGATGGAAAGCCGCGAGAAAGAATCGAGCGAAGCACACCGAGCCGAGCTCGCAGAACTGTTGTCCAAAATACAGGAGAACGAAGATCTCGTGAGAGTCCTTGGGCAGGAGAAGGGGGCCCTCGAGACTGAGCTAAGCAAAACTCAATCAGAGCTCGATGCCACCAGGGCCGATTACGAGGGAAAAGCTTCGGAACTCGAGGAACTCACGAGAGTTCTGGCTTCGAAGCAATCCGACATGTCGCGTTTCGAAGAGAAGCTCCACGCCCTCAAGGATCGCTACGGCGAGAAACTGCAGTCGCTGCAGAAAAATCTCACGACGCTCCAGGCGGAAAAGAGCTCGCTCACGAACACTGTCTCCGTGTTAGAGGAGTCGCTCAGGCAGAACGAGGCTGAGAAAGATCAGCTGACTTGCAAGGTGTCTCAGCTTGAAACACAGGTGGAAGGCTTGGAGAATAGGGAGTGCGAGCTCGAGTCGAGTCTGAGGGACAAGTGCGAGTCTCTTGAAGCTATCCGACAAGAGATGGACATTCTCGAGCAGAAGACTCAAGAAGCGTGCTCACAGTACGACGAAACCGAACGCAAACTCACCGAACGCGAAGCCGAAGTGGCGCGTCTTGTCGACGACTTGGCAAATGCGAAAACAGAACTCTCGGAACGCTGCGAAGACGTTAACTCGTATCATGATCACGTGAAAGCTCTTGCGGAAGAGAAAGTCCGTCACGGGGAAGAAGTGAGGGCTCTGAAGAAACGAATTGAAGACAACAGTGACGAATACCAGGCAGAGGCTCTCGAAATGCAACAGGAACTCTCCATCATGACCGAGAGGTACAACATCAAATGTCACGAATGTGAAACGTTGAACAAAGACGTTGCAGTCAAAACCGCAGACATCGAAGCTCTCAACGGGCGACTCGCTTCGTTGGAAGCAGAAAACTGGAAGATCTCAGAGTCGTTGGGCGCGAGCCAGAAGCGACTCGAGACTGAGATTTCCGAACGGAGAGACCTTGCTTCCCAGACTACCCGGCAACTCGAGCTTGAGAAAGCTGATATGGAGCAGAAACTAAGAATTTCCCTCAAGCAGATCTCAACCCTCGAATGTTCTGCGTCTCGGAGCGTAGCCGAGTTGGATCGATTACAGAAGTTGTTCGATGATGAAAAAACGGCACATATTTCTTCCCTGCAGAAAGTTGACCACTTACAGAGTCAGTTGGATGAAGCGACTAATCAATTGTCGGAAATCAAAGAAGCTGCTGAAGGAATTCGTGGAGGCCTAGAGAAGGAGCTCGCGCATACGCGTGAGGAACTCGAGCGTACGAGGGCAGACCACGGCGCAGAAATCGGCGAGATGGGAGAGAAGTTACGCCTCGCCCACAACGAAATACAAAGACTGTGTTCGACTTTATCTCTGGAAGCGGCGAACGCCGAGAGTTTGCGGAATGAAATCCTCGAAGGACAGTCTGCCCTCGAGTCGTCGAGGGAGTTAGAGGGAAAACTTCGGGGTGAATTGCAATCAAAGTGCGCCGCTCTCGCCCTATTGGAGAAGGAAACAAAAGAGAGAGTCGGCGAGCTCGAGTCGCAGCTTGATTCGATCAAGAAAAAATCGGAGCGCGCTTCCAACGAAAATCAGGAAATGAGGCATAAATTAGAACAAGAGTTGATCTCTCTCCGCGGCCAAGTTGAGGGAGAACGAGCGCGTGTTCTGCAACGAGATCAGCAGATTGATTTATTGAAGAAACTCTCGGACGATCTACAGCTGAGATGCAGTCAGCTGCAATTAGAATACGCGTCCAACCAAGAATTCGCGCGAAGTTCCATGCAGGAGAGTCTCGAAGCAAATAAGAACCTACAGAAAGACCTCTGCTCTCTCCGAGAAGAGGTGGAGAGCAAAAAACTTGTTATTTCCCGGAACGAGGACGAAATCGAGGAGCTCAAGAAGCGTTTGGAAGGCGTGAGTGCCGCAGAGCTCGAGGCGAAGAGCAAGATACAGAGTCTCTCGACTCAGCTACAGACGGAGCTTCAACGCGTGTCGGAGGTTGAGAGATCCTCGGAGTCCTCGTTGCATGCGTTGAAGCTCGAACTCGTCACTGCTCAGAAGAAACTTTGCCAAACGTTGGAGGACAGTGAGGAGCAAACTGAACGATCCGAACGTAGCATGAGGAACCTCCGGAAAGAAATCACCGATCAGAAACTCGCCGCTTCCCAGAGGAACGATGAAGTAGAAAGCTTGAAGGACCAGCTAAAGCATTCGGATTCCGCACAGCGCACCTTGGAGAAACAAATCGAAGATTCGAAGCTCGCTCTCGATGCCCGGACGACAGAGCTGGAAGCATTAAGACGGTCCTCGGTCGCATCGTTGAGCGACTTTGAGCGCGAACTGGCGACTACCCGGAAGGAGCTCGCTCGAACAATCGAGGAGGACGCAGAAATCAGAAATCGATTAGAATCAGAGTTAGAGTCCCTTCGAGCGCAGCTGATCGACCAGAAGCTGGCCATGTCTCAACTGGGTTGTGGAGTGCTGAAGATCCGCGATGAGCTCAACGGCCACAAAAACGAATTTCACGAACTTCGCCACGCTGTAGTTGGACAACAGAAAGAGCTTTCTGCTTTCCTGGTCGACCTGACTGAGAAGCTGTGCGCAAAATCCTTCCGACGCGACCTCGCAGTCAACCAGCAGAGGAAACAGAGCCGGCTTGTCGACCGCTGTCTCGAGACACTGAAGCAGCATCAAGTTCTATCGTTGGCGGTGGCGGCGGCGGCGACGGCTCAGCGACCGGACGACGAGGGCCGGCGCGCACTGGAATCTCTCGACACATTTGATGTGCACTTCCAGACCTTCAACGGTCCTACAGCCCAGTTCGTGGCTGAGCAGCAGGCCTCGTCAACAGCAATGATGAAGAAGCTCGCTGCAGCCATGGAACGAGACGACACCGCACCAGATTTACACGATCTGCACCTAAGCAATGGTTAGTGCGCATCCATCTCCTTGAAGTCGCTTCGGCCCGAGAACTTCTCGAACTTCCTTCTATCCATCTGAATTCTGCCCGGCATTGACTTTCCTTCCGCTTCCAGGCGATACCGCAGGAACGATCAAAGTTGATCCCTTCGACACCATCAAGCAACAGAAAATTCTCATCCACGAACTCATGGCCAAACTCGAGATGACCAAGAAAGTTCTCGACGGAGAAGTCGGCAGACGGAAAGAACTTGATGAACGATTTAAATCTTGGTCTACTGACACGAGACTCCACAATGCGCAGGTTTCCTTCAACGTGGCACAGGTATTGGCAGATATGATTTTACCGTAATTTTCGCAGAGCTTCGCCAGAACTCAAGAACTGTAGGATAGAGAATTGAGTAGGCCGCTTGTGCGTAGAAGTTGCGCTGCTAGTCGCTCACAGCCGGATAATATAGATGCGAGAGAGCTTCAAAAGGGACTTGCTAGGAAGGAACTCTTTATCTCATATTTCCTGGCACTTCGCCAGAATTCCGCACCGCAATCATTTCGACGCGAATCTGAACATCAGTCGATGCCTCGGGAGAAATTCTAAACTTAAAGAGAAAGATTCCCAGATTCGAGGTGAGTACATCGACCGATGGTACTGCGGTGATGGCAATAATTCTTTGGGTGACGAGTCGAGCCTGAGGAAAACTCGTCTCGAATGCTTCGGGCGGACTGATGGCATTTGTTTCGCGCTGCTTCCATTAACTCATCCTTGCTTAGTACTCGAATCGACCGGGTCGATTCGACCTCGATGATGGACTCGCACAGAAAGATAACATGTGAAGGATGCGGTGATGAGATCTGGGGCCTGTTGATAGGACCAGTCGGCTTGCCTTTGAATCTGACGAAAGATGCCCATGATTTCTAGATGAATCATCGCGACGACACGTTCGACAGCGCTCCCATCATGGATTCCCAAAAACAGCTGATTCCCGAAAGGTCGCTACATGTGACTCGACAATTCCCCACATACGTGGAAAGCTTCATTCGGTGGCTAGTTAACACAGCTCCTCCAAGGTGAGAGAGATGCGGCTCTGATGGAGCGATCCTTTCAGCATTCTTTCTCATGTCAAGGGCTGGAATACGGTGACCAGATACTGACTACCTTCGATTTTTCTTCACAGACCGGGAGCTCTCCCCCAGAACTGAGTCCTCTGAAAAAGCCGACACCTTAATCGTCAAGCGCGAACCGGCGTACAATGGCACCTCTGGCAGGAAATCGTTCGCACAAGCATTTACATGTTTCATTATTATCGATCCGAGTTCAGATGTCTCGCGCTCAATCGCGACTGTTCCACCACGACTCCCTCATCCAATTTTATTGATGCGGTACTTCGCCCCATCTTGTGTTCCTCTTTTCTTGTTCTTTTTCGGTTGAATTTGCATCCTCTAGCCGTGCTCGATGGGAGAAAATCCTTGACTGCACTATCTTGTTCATGTTTAGTTCATTGAGTTTGTGCTGACCTCCGTGTCAGGTGATATGGTGAGACCTCCACTGTTGACAAAAATCTTCCGGACCCGACAAGTTTGGCCGTTGATAGTTCATCCTCCATGATTTGATCCAGGAGATACACTGTACACAAAAAGCTACGCTACAACGGGTGGTCCTATAATGGACATTTCATGTCGGAATTCTCAATCGATACAGAGTTTGAGAGACAGGGCGAAATAAGTATTCCAGATTGACAGGATACCGAGAACCGTGCGACGTGTGAAGCCTTCGACAGACTCCCACCTCTATACGGGTATCCTGGCAAACTATATTTTTGTACATGCATAGTTGACGGAATCCCAATTGACATACGCTTGAAATTCATTAAAATCAGAACCCGCTCTAGCGTGTCTCCCCTGCTGTGGGCTGTTCACATGGGGATACAACGCTTTTGAAATAAATTGGACATGTTTACCACCATTCAAGTTATCCGCTCCGAACTGCTTGTCCGCTATGATAAAAACGATAGAAGTCGAAACTGCGTGACCGAGATTATTGGACTCATTTCTTCCCAGCAGCACCGGAACCCTCGACTACTTCCTGATGTTGATCGCGGGCGAGGTAATTCACGCGAGAGCATGTGTTTCGGAATCCCTCGAACCGCTGTTAGCAGTTCTCCAGCAGTACACGCATGCCATTGGAATGGTTCACGAGGCGAAGCTTTGGAGGAATACTCACTCTTAAACAGGTCTTACTCAGGATGGTTGAGCAGAACGGACTCCCTGCCAATACGGAGAATGTCATTGTTCATTCTTATTGTTCCTGTGTGGCGGAACGTGATTTATGGCGGACGAACCTTGCGAATCAACTTGAGCGAATAAGGTCCGGTCAATCCAGATAGAGCCTCTCGAACGCGGACATTGGGTCTTCGATTACAGCGCAGACAAGTTTGAGCTCGAAACATATTTAAGGCCTTTCTTCCCCGAAACAGTCAGTCAGAATGTGCAGTCTTCAGTCCGAAAATCGAGTACCGTTTGGCTTCCTCGTTGATATCGCTGTTCTCGCTCGTCTATTTAAGAGCAGAGCTTCTCGTCGCTACACTCTCGCTTTCCTGAGTGTGCACTTCTCGCTTTGATTTTCCAGAGTACGCTGGCAACTCCGCATATCTTCCGGGGTATTCTGTTATTGTCCCCTTCGTTTGCGGGGGTTTGTACATCGCCCAGAGTCATATGAAGGGATACTGAACGATCGGCGTGAACGCTTCCAATTAATCGGCTCCTTGACGACGAGAAATTCGCTGGAACAACGCGCCAGAGCTCTATGGAGGTGGCGGAAACTTCCGCGCCCGACTAGGGTGACGCCGGAGAAGCCCACGCCCGAAGGGCTCTGAGCCGAATTCCTCGCTCGGATGAATTCGTTCCATCACATTGAATTAAATCAGCTGTTCGCTGTCGCATCTCTTGTGGAGTGTTAGGTAGGCCTTCCAGCGGATCGGATCCGCGGATCCGGATCCGCAGGATCCTCATGATTTTCGCGGATCTGGATCCGCAAGATCTGCAGGATTTTTACGGATCCGCAGGATCCGCACGAGTTTGTTCCACGAATTCCACGAATGTAGGGAAAACCATCGTACATTCATAGTAGTCGGGAGTAAAACGACCATTAATCGCGTTTCTCCGATGGAGGAAGCAGGTACCGCGAGTTATGAATTTCCCATTCCGGTTCGGAACCTCTCGTCTCAAAACTGAGGGCTTGTTCCCTCACTCATTTCCCGCCGACATGACGGCTCTGCACGTCGGACTTCGCTGCGGGGGTTGACCGGGATCCGGTCGATAGCAGCTGAGAGACAACTGCGCATACCTCAAGCGCAAGCGTTCTTGTTCCGCAGTTCGTGATCTGGACTGCTCCCCGCGAACAAGTTTGCAGAGCCTGAAATTATCGAGAATAAACTGCAGCCCTCCTGCCGGGACGAGCCCGTACATCCATTTTTGTTGTTCACCTTGTATTTAGACGGAGCATTCCTCATCATGGAGGACTTCAAGGTGGCGACGGATCAGAAGAGCTGGGTTTGGAAACATTTCTTGAAGTGTTCCAAAAGCGGAACATGCACGAAATGCTCCAGGGTAGGCTCCGCTTAAATATCATAAACATATGGAGTTCAGCAGCGAATCCGCAGAGAACTGTACATAAGCTGTACACATGTATATGTATTTTTTTCTGGATCCGGTTTGGTGCGGATCTTATCCGCGGATCCGAGCCCAACGGCTCCGGGATCTGCGGATCTCAAATTTCACGGATCTTTGGAAGGCCTAGTGTTAGGGCGATCGGGAAGCGCGCGGCACCGCCGCTAACTCCTTTCGCGCGTCGCCGAAAGCGACGATGTTGAGTCCGTTAATGAAAAGGGTCAGAGGCTACTTGGCCATGGAGATGCATAGAGGTGTTTTCAGTCTCCTCCACTCCTAGGGTATCGTGTGTTACTACAGTGGCGACGAGGATAAGTTTTTCCATGGTGGAACACTAGCTGTGCCTTCAATCACCAGAAAGTGCAGAAACCCACGGCAAAACTTCAAAATGCCTCTTGAGGTTGGTGACTTGAGCCTGGTCGTCCAGGAAGCCGTAAAGACTGCGCTCCTCCAGACGTCGAGCTCGCAAAAAGATATCATCAAAGACTTGATGAGTTCGACAGCTGGAGAGACTCAGAAAGTAACTGACTCTCTGAACGGTCGCATTCCGAATTTCAACTATGATCCAGAAGCTGATCTAATCTTCGAGAAATGGATCAATCGTTACGCACCTGTTCTGGACACAGACGGGGTTTCCCTAACAGAGGTGATGAAGAAAAATTTCATCATTTCCAAGTTGAGGGCGAAGGAATGCGATCGTTTCGTGGCTTACATACTCCCGAGTAAGCCAGAAGATGAATCTCTGGACGGTATCATCGAGACACTCAAAAATCTCTTCGGCCAACCGGCGTCGCTGTTCAGACGGCGCTTCAAGTTCCTTCTGACGAAGAGGGACGGGAAGGAGATCACAGATCTTGTTGGCATTATCAATACTAGGGGGAAGCTGCGGAGCTCGAGAAGCTCACTCCCGAAAATCTGAAATGCCTAGTGCTGGTCAACGCTTTGAGTGCGCCGGAGGACTTGGAGCTTCGGACGCGAGCTCTGCGGAAATTGGACGAGGAATCCACTACATTAAAATCCCTCGCCAAAGAGCTGCTGACTTACACACAGCTCAAACGCGACGCCACCAGCAGTTCAGACGTCCGACCGACAGTCAGCCACTTGTCTCAGAAGAAGTTGCCTAGACCTCAACAGCAACGGGGAGCGCTTCCGAAAACTCCCTGTTCTCGATGTGGTGAAGTCCGACTCGGAATTCATCTTTGTGTGCCTGAAAACTCGCGGGTTCTCGTCTGAAGAGTGGCTTCGACATCTCGATCGATCTTTCCCAGAGGGGTGCACCCAAGAAAATCCACGACGGGCACGTGTATATTCGAGAAAAGCGGAGTAAGGACGGTTTCACGCAGTTCTGGCGATGTAAACGAGATCGAGTTGTCCCGGCATCGAGTTGTCATGTACCGGACGCGACCATGTCCAGACTTATTATTATCGGATTAGACTGGGAATCCCCAGAAGCCCGCTACCACACATAAATAAAGGATTCGCTCGCGAGGGTGCTTGTTCTCGCCGGGGGATTCGTTTGCACAAGCGATGCCACCGGACGCTTCATTGGACGATAAAATGGCGCAGCGTCGCAAATGACGGCTCACACTTTGACAGCGTGGACGATATTGTGCAACTCGCTCGCCGCCCGATTTCGTTCCTTAACCCATCCGATCCTCCATTGGATCCTCCCTCGTTGATCCCGACTTGCGAGACTCGGCCTGTATCTCACGGGCATCGAAATCACGGCAGAAGCCCATATACCGTCATGAAATATATTTCCGGAGGGGAACTACCTACTTCCTTCGGCGGTCGTCGCTTATGAATGCTAGTCTTTGCTCCGACTCATCGGGGACTGACTATACGAAAAATGGGGCTGAACGGACTCGGCCCCAGTGATTCCGCTGTTCCGAATACACTTGCTTATTTTCAAGTTTCCCGGAGGGCTCCTTACGCATATGTGAAAGTGACTCAAAGAGGTACCACAAATACGGCAAACTTTATTTGAAGAAATATTCGTTGATTGTCTCACGGTAGAAACAGATCAGAGCTCGATCCGTGTTCATTGCACGAAGTCATAAGGCTCAGGAGCTACAGGACCGATGTAGAAGGGGCTAATCCTGTGACTCATCGCTCTCGATACTCGAAACACTCTGCCCTCGCTCCAGAAGGGCTTTCTGATGCTGAAGACTAGCGATCAGGTCAAGTTTCTTCTTGCGACACTTGGCTGCCGCAATGCGATTCCTCGCCCTCCTGTCTTCGAGCTTCTCAGGAGTAGTGAGGTTGGCAGATCTCCGTCTGGCGCTCTGCGAAGATTGTGCGGGAGTCGCATTGGATGTCCCCGCCACCGATGGAGGTTCTGCGCTTGTGCTGGGCACTCCTGAAGGTTCAGAGCTCGCGTTGGAATCTGAACCGTCGAGCCCTCCAGCGTGCGCCGACGCTGTCGCGCATGCCTGCAGCGTGGAGGATGTCCCAGATGTGTGTCTGGCGATGGATTCCTTGAGTTCGGCGATGAGATCCAATTTTTTCTGGCGACATTTCGCTGCAGCGATGCGATTCCTCGCTCGTTTGTCCTGGAGCTTGTCGAAGCTTGAGGGACCCGCGGGATTCGTTGATGAAGTTCCCGCAGCCTCTGCGGGAACGACCCTGCTAGGTTCGACGATCGTTCTCGCCGGTTGAGGCACGTTCGATATTTCTCGGAACACGGCCGCTTGAGGTCTGAAAACATGGACAGCCCCGGCGAAAGCTGTCAATGCTGCCTGCGGGGCCGCCGATGCCTGCGGTACAACTGGAGCCTGCGGTACTACCGGAGCCTGCGGTACTACCGGAGCCTGCGGTACTTCCGGAGCCTGCGGTACTACACTGATTCGCAGTGCTCCCGATGCCCACGGTGAGGCCCATGCTGCCGCTGTGGATGTTCGCGGTGTGGTCGCCGCCGCCGAGACTGTCGCTGGTGCTCTCACTTGAACTCTGACGGGATCTGGTTCCCCGAGTGGAGTCAAACTTAAAGGAACAGGTGACTTCAAGAAATTAAGCCCGAGCTCATCGAAACCCCGGTGTAGGATTGCCTCGAGCTGAGGACTGGTGATGAGGACTTTTTCGAGATCGGGTGTCTCCAATACAGTCACAGTCGTCATCGGCCGGGCGGTGGCGAAGTGAAATCTCATATTCTTCGCGGAGAGTTCCGTCGCGCCTTGATCCAAGTCGATTCGCATGGCTCGTTTCCGACTTCTGATCTCATCTCGCGACGGAGCTCCTGAGGTAGCCATGTTCTCCATGAGTGATGCGGCGGAGGACGGGAGAGCGATACTTGATAGCAGAGATCGAGGCACAGCGGAATTGACAGAATAGCGAAAATACAGGGCATATATACAGAGTCATCGAGAGAAGAAGTGTGACTTTTGAGAGAGGGGCTGTATCGGGTCACTCAGAGATAATGGGTTCTTGATCGAGACCCCGACCCAACCTCGCGAGAAATCGAGAGAGGGGGGGGAGGAGGACTCAGGAGGCTCGGATTTTTCTGAGAATTCCGATCCGAATTCGGAATCACTCTGAAACTCAATCACTTCTCGGAGTGCCTTTGAGCTGTGGAATTCCTATTCACCACATGTGCTCACTACATGGCGAGATATTAGCAGGCTTCGGTTTGGAGTCGGAAGTCGGCTTTGGGTCCAGTCAATGCTCAAGGGGGTTGCTAAGTCGAGCGGTATTATCGGTATCTCTATTATCACAGGAGGAATGACCGCGTGCGGTTGATGAGGCGGATTGGACTATGCGGCTGCTCTCAAACGTCTCCCCAGGACCTCGGATCGAGGGAACCATGAGGACGCTCTGCGTCGAAATCGGCTGATGGATCGAGCCACGATCCGAGATTGTGCATCTGGACTCCTCCGAGGACAATGGCAATCTCATGAAGGCAATCAACAGGGGAAGCTTAGAGCAGATGAGCTCCTACCCTGCCCCACTAATCCAGCGTTTTCGGACGGTATTCAGCACTTCTTGATCTCGCTAGGACAAACACAATACTGCGAGCCCTCCATGAATGATTCCGGAGCTCCTCCGGCTGCTTCGTGTGGGATACGCTCAATGATCCTGCTCGTGAGTCGATATTTAATCCGAAACTTCCTCCGAACTCACCGTTATGGGAATTTATGTAGGTTCCTGGTGCAAAACGGTCCAGTTCTAGAACTACGCTGTGTGACGAAGATTCTCACCTCTTGGGAGTAATGAAGGGTTCTGAGTTGTTGAGAAGAGCAAACTGTTGACCTGGGCAACAATGATGTGCCAGTAAGGCCGGACAGCGCGGTATTGACAGTCGCGCAGTGGGAAGATTCCAGTTCTCCATCACACAATCTCGCCCGGGATGGATCGTCCTGTCGTTCTCGGTGCGACATCTCGGGCCGAGCCTTCCTGAACTCATCGTTGCTTAAGCAGACTCACGGAGACAACCCAAGTTTGGGGAAAACTTCGACTGTATCCGAGCAGAGCAAGAAATTTCTAGAATTTCTGAGCCCCGCGAGAAACTCCGTCTCGAGACTGCTTGAATCATCCTGATGAGGCCTCATGTTTGAGGGAGCAGGGAGATGATGAGCGAGCCCCGATAGCGACGTCGGAGACTCCACTGACTTCTCTGGAAACCGGCGGGAAATGTGTCAATCGCTCATCGATCCTGGCAATGAGGATTCGACGTAGACATACGGAATTCTCCACAAAACAGACTCCCGCTCCTCCAGCAGATTTTTCCGTTCCGCTCCCATACCGATCCATGTCAATAGGATCGCTTCTATTAGGTCTATACTCGCCAGGTCAAAATCTGGAGGCAACAGCGCGTTCAATGCTTCGTTGCGTGTCGCGCACAAACACGTATCTTGACGGAGGCTGCAGCGATGCCTTCAACGACCTAATCGTTCGAATCGTAAGAACCTGGCGTCCGTGAAGCTCAACGGGCCACCGCTTCCGAGCCCAACAATGCCGTCGAATCTGGAAGGTAGGTACTCGCCCCGATATCCTCGCTAGCTCCGAAAGCACTTTGGAAATCGGGAGCGGCGTGAACTATGCTTCTGTCTACCTTCACTCGAGACTATCGAAACGAAGGGGGAATCGAGGGATGATCGGATAGGCACAGCAGGTTGCCGGTATGCACGTTTACGAGCATATGTGCGCTACAAGGAAAGCGTCGTCCTCGATGGGCTCTTCTTGGTCTGTTAGGACTTCCCAGAGCGCGAGCTCAGGTTTGGCGGTGAGCTCCTGAGAGACCGCTCTCAGCGGACTCTTGACGTGACGGAGCTCTACAGTTCGGGGCATTCCCATACGACCTGCGGGAATCCCCGTGATGGAATCGGAGGGAGCAGCCGATGGGTGCAGCTACGAATTCAATCAGTAGACTGCCCCCTAGATGTCTTTTGTATCGATCTGGAATATTCACCGAATAGAAGCGATATTCGTGCGGGCTCAGGCTTCGGGAAGTTGGTAGTTTCTCGGAGCCATCCACCCCAAGCTCAACTCCGATAGACCACATCCACTCTCTGACTTCAGCGTCGGAGTTCGCGCTCCGATTCAAGATCCCTTCACTCCCATATGTGTTCGGGGGATGGGATCATCGTAGACGCGGTTGTCGCCGTTCTTGGAGGTACTACACATGCATATATTCAAGCAGTCAAATATCGACATAAAAACGTGATCTGTTCTTGAATGTTCGCAAGTCCAAGCACATTTCGTCCGTCGCGCCCATGCTGACGAGGGTGCCCCGGGCAGAGGAGACCTGAACGACCCGCAAATCCGATTCCTATGTGCGATGCCAATCAGATTGCCAACTCGTTCCGGAGATTTGGCCGTATCCGAGGTTCGACTAGGATTAGAATAAAAGTCGAAAAACGTCTTCGTACCAAGAGATGGGGATGGGAATGTTCAAATGGAGAGACAGATTCGGAGGTTCTTGAAATGAGCTCGCAGGGCGCAACTCAATTTCGGGAGGAATAGGGTGTCGAACGAAGTCTGCGGAGTATCGCAATTCTCGCGTGCTGGTAATTTCGGGTACCACACGATGGTCAGGCGCAGAATGAAGGGATGGTTGAGTGATCAGAGCCCTACCTCTTCGCGAGCGGAATTTCACGCAGTCGCGTAGAAACCGCTCGAGCGATAATACTCCCGCGAAATGTCGCTGTGCATCACATCTGACATCTATGTGCAGTTTCCAGTTTCGAGCCTTAGCGGCTATACTAAATTGCTCTACGCAATATAGCGCAACCCATACTCTACGCTTGATGCGGGATTCTTTTCAACAGCGAGAGTCCGATGCTATCAAAACGAAATCTAGGAATTCGAATCAATCCGACTCCATCTCTGCGATCGAAGATTGCGTGGGGGGGGTCGCGATTAGAGGCCAATATAGCGGGTCTGGCTCGTGAGAGCTCCTCTTACTTGTATATACACTACCGATCAAAAGTTTGAGAACACTCGAGAATTCATGGATATTTGGAAGAAAAACGTGTTTCCCGCCGGCATTCGGCACTGAAAGGGTACGCATGATGCCGAACAAACCGGTCGACATGATCGGCTACGTCTTCGACTTAACTCACATGCAACGCCGCCGGCCGCATTGCTTTGAGAAGGGATTCCTGAAGGGCTCGTCGCAAGACGTTCGAATATCGGTCCCTTCAACACCGAGCCGGCGTCTAATTTTCAGGTCGATATCCGCACAAGGGCTCGGAGAAAATGAAAGTCCACGAAAATACTGCGCCGTAAAGCGGATCGGCCCGCGGGAAGAAGTCTCGATTTATTCATGAGAAGCGCAATGGCGCGATGACATCCCGATTCAGATCTTACTCTCCTCGAAGAAATTGCCGCGAGCTCTAATGACGGCCGCACAAACGCGTTGCATTCTTCTCACGAGTTTCTCTATAGTCTCCTCATCGATGCTCGCCCACTCTTCCCGTAGGACGTCCCAGAGCGTCGTTGTATTTGTGATTCGTCTTATACGGATCTTTCTATCTAAATGGTCCCACAGTAACTCGATAGGGTCGCAGTCGGGACTCTGAGGAGGCCATACCATCAGCTTCAGTTCCCCCTGCGACTCCTTCGAACGAAGATAATTTTGGCAGATGCGGGAAGTGTACTTCGGACCATTGTCTCGCTGGAGCGTGAAACCGCGACCAATCAAACGTTTTCCGGAAGGCACGGCGTGCCTCACCAAAATTCGGTGGCAGTAAGAAGCATCCATGCGTCCTTCAACTTTCACGATATCACCGACTTTAGCCCCACCAAAACCTCCCCAAACAATCACCGACCACCCTCCATGCTTGACAGTGGGCTGTGGACAAGCTAAAAGCATGCGCTCACCCCGTCTGCGGCGGACGAATTTGCGTCGCACAGTGGGCCAGCGGCGGCCGAAAATACCTTTTATTTAACGGATGACGATTGAAGCTTCCCAGATGGTCTGTGATGACGGGAAGAGTACCTAGGTGGCCTAAAATTTCCTCGGGAATCCGAATTTCGACTCAGAAATTTGATCCGAGCAAAATTCGAGGACCTGGAATGGTATATTGTCTGAAAATGAAAAACGCGAGAGATCTACCGCGATCGAAAGCGCCAGAAGGGCGATTTCCGACACCCGAGGGCTGGGGACGTCGCACAGTGTGGCCAAACCCGATTTTAGGCGGCAGAAATTATTTCAGTGAGTTTTTTGGATTATTCTCGTGTTACGAACTCGTATCAATCATCAGAGGGAATTTCTGGCTCTGAGCTCCTCGGAGAGCCGCGTACAATAGCTTAGCAGGTCCGGCTGGCAGAAGATCTTTGACCTTGTTCCGTTCTGTGCTCTCCGCCGAGTCCGAGAAATTTGTCTCTGGTCGTCCCGCTCGAGGTGTCCCTTGAAACGCTTTCGATGGTTCCGGCTCCTCGGGCGCGTCTTGGTATTGGTATTTATTTATCCTCATTTAAGTTTCTTAAATGACACTTTCACTTCAGTGGCAAGTAGTCTCAGCGGATATTGCTAGTTTCTTCCTTCCTCCGCTGTAGGAGTCTCTTGGTGTCGCGAATCATCCTCGAGGAGGGGTCTCTGTCAAGTCCCAGTCGTTTCAGTATTTCCTCTTCCTCGAAGAATGCTTCGTTGCATTCGCAGATGACGCGGCCTATGGTTTCCGGTACCATTCCACACTTGACACATGTGGATTCCAGTCCCGGCTCGGAGTAAGACCTGTTCGTCTTGTGCGGGTAGCTCAGTGTAGTGCACGATGAAATCGAAGCTTTTGGCTTCGCGCGATTCAGCTCCTTCAGCGAAGAACCGTTCCGCTTTCGAATTATGTCTCCCAAGTTTCCCCTCACTCGGGACACATGC